CCCTCACCTCTGGGAGATGTTAGAGAGCTGTAAATCTAATACTCCCTCCCGGACTTGGGACCGGGACTGCTCAGGCGCTGACAAATGCCATGGCAAGAAAGGAAAAAGGCAACTGTACTAGCCTGACCTTTCCTGAACCGAGAGGCTTACAGCAACAGCAACAGCAATATTTTATTGGACGCTGAGCGAGCGGGCTCTGCTCATTGCGGGCGTGTGAGACTGCCTTTGCACCTGAGCAAAGGTCTGAGAGCAGAAATGCTGCTAAGGGCCTGGGCCTGATAGCACTGAGAACAGGCTAACGTAAGGAGAGAGCTACCCTACAAGCTACATCAGAAGCCAGCTCATATAACTCAGGCGTGGGTGAGAAACCCTCCGACACCCTCAGTGTGGACTATGGCGTCCCATGTCCACGAACCAATGATTGATGAGCCGTACCCCGCGGGACCGTCACTCAGAGTGCCTGTTGCGTGGCGTCCCACTCATGGTCACTCTCAATCAGAGGCGATGGGCCGTAAGGTCGCAAAGGTGATATATAGCCCGTGGCAGTCAAATTAGAGCAGCGAAAGTCTGCTCTAGCAAGCCAGCCGTAAGGCAGCGCGCGATGCAGGGACGCAGGACGTTGCCTGGCATCAGACCAGGCGTTGCCCGTTCAGCGGCTGAGCGGGGACCATACCATACACAGCGTTCCTGCTCCCTGCCGTGCAGGCAGTCGGTCCCACGGAGCCAGTGGGTCGCCCCCTCCCTGTAAAAGGAAGTAGGGGCCCCTGGCTGCAGGGGAACCCTCAGCTTAATCATCAGAAGCATGGACTGGCATAGGGCCAGCCTCCGCTGTGCGCGGTAATGAACCAAGTCGCACTAACAGCACATAACAGCCGTGGCGTGCTTGCCTGAGATCGGAATCAGAGGCCGGAACCGACGGACGACCATCGTCCGTGTTGAACCAGGGTTGATCGGGGTTGCTCCTCCAAAGGGAGCGATAGTGTCCACTGTGCATATCGTCTCCTATATGAAAGACACAGGACTGGACCCATCCGTGCTCTAGTTGAACGGAGCCCGTCGGGGCCCACTGCGGGAGCTGAACAGGGCGATGTAGACCTGTTACGGCATAACTGAGCTTGCGACCTTCAACGAATCGTGCCACCGAGAGAACCACCAGCCGTTGCTGCCCTCGAAAAGCAGCGTACACTGGCTGACCGGACCACCGAGAGATCAGCTCCTGAAGTTCGTGAGAGCCAGCTGCCGTCGGAGCCGGCAGCAGGGAGAGCGGACCACCCTCATCCGTTACTTCAGTAGTGCGCCCATCCCTGACTTCCCAGGGTCTTGCGATTGGAAGCCCAGTAATTCCAGCGAACAAGGCTACCAGGAACTCTGAAGCATCTTGCTGTTGACCATCATAGCGCCAGGTGGGAGTGAGATGACGAAGTGTGAAAGAGGCAGTCAGGGTAAAACCCTCACCACTAGGGCTGCAGGTAAGGGACAACAGGGGCTCAAGCTCAGAGGCAGTCTCACCATGAGCGTGGACATGAGCAAAGCTTTTGACACTGTAAACAGGCTGCGATTAAGAGAGGCCCTGGAAGCCGAACAAGCAGATCCTCTTCTGATAGAGGTGGTAGGCCATCTCCACATCAAAGCCTTGTACAAGATGACAGCCAGCGATCAGAGCTTTGAGATAGCCACACGCAGGGGAATCAAGCAGGGATGTAAGCTAGCACCCTCTTTATTCGCCTTTGCATCAGGGCTTCTCTTTAGGAAGCTCTCTGGGAAAATCAGCCCAGCAGAACTAGTGAAGCTCCTCACAATGTACGCTGACGATAGCTTGATCCAGTCGCATTTCGACTCTGAGGCCGGCCTCATGACAGCACTAGGGTACTGCGACCTGCTTCTGGATCAGCTGGTAGAGCTTGGGTTCAAGGTCAATCCGTCCAAGTCAGCAATTCTGCTACAGCTGCAAGGGGGCTCAGCCTCGACCATTAGGAAGAAACTCTTTCGCCAGGTCGAGGGAGAGAAGTATGTTGAACTCCCTTCGGGCAGGCTGATATCGCTGCGCTATCAGGTCCCATACTTGGGGGTCATTCTTTCTTATCACGACTATGAAATGAAGACTCTCAAACATCGGCTGTCATCCAGTAAGCTTGCAATGTCAGAAGTAGCCCATGCAGTTCGGAACCACCGAGTCTTATCAGACAGACGTCGTCTGTCGATTTGGACAATAACTGCGTGGGCCTCTGCTCTGTATGCACTCCACGTGGTGGGGATGACACAGCAGGGATTGCAAAAGCTCCATTCACACATGATGTACCAACTCAGATTCGTCCTGCGGAGTTACTCCCAGGAAACGAAGGAATCAAACCAGGAGTTACTCCGGAGATTACGGATTCCTCACGTGAAGGAGCAGCTGCAAAAGAGAATGACCCAGTTTATAAAGAGACAGCAACACTCCGATCCCCAGCTTCTCCCACACTATAAGTTGCGTGCTGAGGCAGTTAGCCAGGCATTGGAAGGCCTCTCCACGGACTTCTCCTCGCACCATGTGGAGGATAGGCTTCTGACCTGCGGAGAATGCGGAGCATGTCTCTCTGGCACCGGAGCACTCCGTCGCCACCTGCAGAAGGCTCACCCAGATTTTCAGCAGTGCCTGAAAGGACCCAAATTTGATCCTATTTTGCATTCAATGCCAGGGTCAGCAACTTGCATCGCCTGTCGAGCAACATTCCGAACAGTGTTTTATCTGCGCAAACATGTCGAAGCATCTACCTGCCCTAGGGTAGAGCTTTTGCTTAGACAGCAGGAAGAGCTACCCTTAGAAGCACAGAACCGGATCTCACTCGTAGAAAGTCTACAGTCTGATGCCCAGGACAATCCAGAAGGCGCCGCTCGAAATCCGGCGTTCCATGATTACCTGATGGAACACTGCGCACTCTGTGGTCAGGTCCTCGTAGGCCAGAAAGGAGCCAAACAGCATTTAAACAAGCAGCATCCTGAGGTGATGGCCAAGCTGGAGAAAACTCTCCAACCAAGACTCAATCAATTCAAGGTCTTCTTCCACAAAGGAGATAGCTGTCGATACTGCAAACTTCGTGTGGATGCCCCGGGTAGACATGCTCAGCAGTGCGTTCCATTACTGCAGGTGCACGTACTGCAGGAGGTAGCGCGCCAGCAGCTCAGCAAGCAGCCCCGCGAATATACTCGAGCAAAGTCCACGGCATCGGCGAAGACAGTCACAAAGAAGCCTTCAGATTCAACGCCAGGAATTCCTCACCCCGTGTTTAGACTGGAAGGCTTTCTCCTGCTAGCCAATACTCGCAACCACTGCTATGCCAACTCAGGTCTACAGTGTCTCCACTGGCTATCTGATCCTTCAGAGGCGCCTTTCCAAGAGGCATCTCGGATCAGTCAGCTTGCGAGAATAACCCCTGAACACAGAGCCTTCTCGGAGCTCACCATGGGCTGGCTCTTTGACGGAGGCCAGCACGACTCTGCTGAGTTCCTGCAGCAAGTGTTTCGGAATCTCTCTGCATCAAGATTTGGACAGTGGGAAACTAGAGCCTCAGTACCGGAAGGCGTGATAGTGGACGAAGAAGGGGGCTCTCCCATTCATCTTGCCACGGCGATGAAGACCAACCTACAGGACATGCTAGTGGCATGGTCGTCTCAGGAGCGCTCATGTGCTCTCATAGAAACTGCACAGCAGGTGTGCCTAGCCTTGCCGAGATTCGCAGGTGAAGCTAAGGATCACACTCGCATCACAATCCCACAGCAAGTCCAGATCCCTGTCTTCCTGGACCACACATCCCGAGTTTCGTTCTGTACCTACACAGTAGAGGCAGTGATCATTCACCTAGGAATGGAGTCCACCAGTGGCCATTACCGTGCAGCTGTACGCACAGCAGATGCCTGGTATGTTGGTGATGACTCCCACTCCCCTAGTCCCTGTACCCTCGAAGATCCCCTGCTTCAAGAAAATAGCTACGTCATCTTCCTAGCTCGCAGCGCCGTCTCTCACGAGCCCCAGGACGTAGCCAATTTCCCGAGTAATGTCTCTGCAAGAGCTCTTCCAGCGAGCATCGATGGATGAGAGCTCTGCCCCTAAACGGGGAGACGCAGGTCCGTCAGGTGGAGATTCTCCCCTGAAGCGACAGCGTGGTGGAGGTACTCCCTAGCAACGAGGCAGAGGACAACCCTCCCTTAGGAGGAGACTCTCCCCAACAATCGGAGGAGTTTCTCCCCTTGCCATGTGTGTACAGCTGGTGGAGTTTCTCCCCAGGGGTTTTTAAACGGTAGGAGAGCATCAGGTGGCAGCCAGTGATACATGGCAACCAAGCCGGTTAGCTTTCAAGCTAGTGCCGAAATCATAACGCCGCATAAGACTCTGACGACACATTCGCTTCCCACTTCACAGCTTGCAGCCCTGAGGGGCGGAGCGTGTGCAGGTGCAGCGCTGAGGCACGGCTTGCCGTGAAGAGTGACCGCGCAAGTAGTAAGCAGGGCACTAGGTCGATCCCTCGCAAAGCGTGGACGATAAGTTTCACCACAGACAGTCCTCCCCCGCTGCGTGTGAATGAAATGCTGTTGCTGTTGCTGTGGCTGTTGTTGTTGCTGTTGCTGCTGCTGCTGCTGCTGCTGCTGCTGCTGCTGCTGCTGCTGCTGCTGCTGCTGGTGGTGTTGTTGTTGTTGTTGTTGTTGTTGTTGTTGTTGTTGTTGTTGTTGTTGTTGTTGTTGTTGTTGTTGTTGTTGTTGTTGTTGTGTGGTTGCTGTTGGTGTTGCTGTTGCTGTTATTCTTCTTATGTGTTATTGGTTGTGGGATGCTGGCTGTCTGTGGCCGCTCACCAAACCACGGGAAATCGACGGATCCAGCAAACTTCTGACCCAGATGCAGCGCCCGTGTCTTCTGGTGCAAGGACGGCTCGCTGTAGCTCTGCATGCGTGCTGACCATGCGAATAGAGCAATAGCAAACGGGGTGCCGTCCTCATCTGGGAAGCTTGCGCAGGTTGAGGGTATCTCAAAGTCTCTGAGTCTTTGACAACTTTTGCCTCCAAGAGTCGTTTCTCGGCGAGCCAGGACCGCTTTCGAACAAGCACATGGAGTGACGAATTCTCACGAGTATTTGAAAGAACAGCTTTGCTACAGGGTCTTCCCTGACCGCATCCATGAGAGCGACGGGCAAGTCTGTTGTGGCATCGGGTGTCATGCACAGGATTTTGGCAATGGATTGGACATGCTCTTCGTTGACGGAGTCTTGCAAGTACATAAAGGCACATGCTGAAAGGAACTTTGACAGGTCCATTAGCACGTGCTTGCCCGCTTCCACCTGAGGAGTCGTCCCACAAAACGCACTACGGGACAATCACGTAAAAAAAAAAAAAAAAAAAAATTGCATGGTCAGCATGGTCATGCTGCACAGGGCTTGCTTCAAGACACTGTGGCAAAGTCGATCAGCCACACCAGGCCCTGTGAGTCCACGAGAAGATTTCCACCGTGCAGATCATTGTGACATAGGCCTTGTGGCCACAAAAAGCAAACTGAAACAGCATTAGGCAAAAGAAGACTGATTACTTCAATACCTCGGAGAACTAATGCCGATCGTTCGATGCTTGAGCTCTTGCGTGAGGTCTGTGCGGCATCTCGGTCGGATTCACTGCAGCGCCCACAAGCAGAAAAAAAAAAAAAAAAAAAACTGTGCAGAACTCGGATGCCATACAAACGTTCATGTGCAATCTGGTTCCTCAGCTCTGTCCGTGGGATCTTGGCCACAAGGCCCATACTGCGATGCAGTACGAACATCTCCTTTCTGGCGGTTTTCGCTTCCCGTCCCTAACTTCAAGTAAATCTCATAATAGACAGCCCTGGCCATGCCACACAGCAGCTGCAGTTTAGGATAGCAGCGGCATGTGCATAAAATTGATATTGGCAGAACCGCGAAAAGTTGTGAACCATTCTCTTGTGCGTTATTGCCGCCGAGATACCAACGACAACTTCTCTCTTGAAGTGCTCTGAAAGCTTGGCTTCCATGTTTGAGAAGTTCTGAAAGAGATCACGCACCGTCTGCTTCCTTCAGGGTCGCCCCAAAGTGCCCCGACTCCCCGAGTAGTTTCATCTCAAGAGATAACAGTATGCCTCAGGTCAATGTTGCAGTCTCCTGCCACAAAGCTCTTGGATGATCTTGCCATCTGGGTCCAAGTCGTCTATCTCAACAGGATTCTGGAATCCAGCCGCCAAAGCCGCGGACTTCGCTGCACGCTTTGCTCCCTCCTTGCGGTGGTGTCAGATTAGCGTCTACAAGGCTTTAGCAAAGCTTGCCACGCGGGGTTGCGACTGCCACGGAAAAGCTCCTTGGCACGATTAAGGATTCCGTGCCCCACGAAGCGTACGATCTTGTAGGAGTCTGCCAATGACAGCGAACTGATTTTGCGCTCAGACCTCGGTTGCGTCCCTTTCGAGACAGTTCGGAAACTGGGATCTCTAGGAGTCGCACATCGTGAAGTGGTACATACGCCTCTCCAGCGCCTCGTTGATGATTGGAACGACGTCCACGTTCAGGGTGACCTGGCATCCGCTGGCTCAAGGCTCAAGGGCGGCTTTGCCGCTTTGGTTTCGAGAAAAAACCGCGCTTTTGGGCCGTCGGACCTCTTTCAGCTCGGCTTCCAAAACGGAAGCAAAAGTGTGCACAGGTGGTGCTTTGGCAAACTCAGGGAGACCAAAAACACCGCCACAAAGGTCAATCTGCATCACGGACGACGGATCCTTCGAGTCGACCAAGAAGTAGTCCTTCACCTGAAAGCATGTCGCAATGCTCACAACAAAGTGTGAAGCGATGTCCAGTCCATGCAATCCGGAACCCGCACGGGCCTTCGGAGTCGTTGAGCCGAAAAGCGTCCTGTACTTTTCCGTCTTTGCCATCCTCAGGGGGTCAGAATTGCAAAAGCCGAAACAAGAAGCCGCTCTTCGTGTGACATGTGCACACATGTCAATGTGAAGAACAGCCAAGAATCTCATCTTCGACACCTTAGATGCAAAGGTTTGGGCTGAACCAGGACGTCCGAAGACAGTCTGCTGTCATGCGAACTGGTGCTGTCCGGGCAACACTCTTTGGAGTCGAATTTCAATACTGACGCAGGCATTGGACGACCGTCTCGCAGAGGAGTCAGAAAGAAGACAGAGGCTCCGCTGAAGCTCAGACTGACCCGTTTGATCTTCAATACGGCATATTTGCCTGAGCTTTCGAAACCAAGCAAGACCCTGCTATGCGTCAGGCTGCCAAACGCCACACAAGTGACAAGTGCAATTCGAAACGTGCTGCCGGCTTCTTCCAAGTTGTACAATGAATCGCATTGAGTAGGTGTCAAGAGGTCGGCATCTCCGATCAGCTCTTTCTGTTCAACTTTTTCGACATCCTCCTTTACATCGTCCTCCTCATAACTGTCAAAGCCTCGCGCAGCATGTACATATGCCAAGTGCGAGCCACTCATAAGACTCTACCGCATTATGACAACACAACATGTCTGAGTGTTTGGGGCACATATAGGACTTTTGGATGTCATACTATGCCTGTGTGCTAGAAATACGCACACCAGCAAGCTCAATCAGCATAGAAACCTTCCAAAGCTGCATCTCTGATCTTGCCGTCATTCAACTCAGGATCGCGGAGTGCAACCTGTGTGCGCCAAGTTACGTGAGATTCTTGCATGGGACTTTGCAACCACTGCAGCGCTCATCCGTCGGTCCGAGCCTCTGTTTGGTGCATTGGTGCACACGACGGCACGACGGCTCACCGGCTCACAGCACTGGCGAAAAGGGTCTGCGACTTTGGCTGAGCCGAAACATACGGTGTCGCGATGCCGTCGTGTTTCCCATGCCAGTGTCGAAAACAACATGCGGGCCCAGCTGATTTCGTGTGGTGAAACAGCACTCATGCACCGCATGCATCAGTAATTCCAAACTCACCGTCCCTGTAGATGTCACATGTCGGCGTGTTTTCAGCATTTCCAGGCACGACATTTGAAGAAGAATTCCCCGTACTGAAGATGTTCCGAAAAGGTGTCTCGCAAGATTCCTTTCTGTCGGACTTGTTCATCCAGGGGATTTTCATACAAACAAGCCTGTGAAGAGGACACTGGGCACATTCACGCCCATGGGCAACTGCCGTCCTTTTGCCTCCAAGGAGGACTGCGACAAAAATGACCACCACCACTTTCTTTTCTTGTACTACCACCACCACCACCACCACCACCCAACTACTACTACTACTACTACTACCACCACCACCACCACCACTACAACACTACCATTACCACACGACCACTACCACACTACCACTTCCACACTACCACTGCCACCACCACCACCACCACTACCACTACCACTTTTGACTTTTCGACTTTGCATCGCAGCAACGACAAGCGGTGCTATGCGCCGGTGGACCAAACCTGCAAGGTTCGGCTGCTCCACGCCTTATGAGCGATAGGAGCAATGCTGTTGTAGCACTTTCCAAGACACAAAACAAACTAGGGAGTAAACGTGTAAAATCCCGTGCCGCAACACACAGCAGATCGTATCCGTGTTTTGCGGATTCTCACGCCCTCACGCACTATGCTCAATCTGGCGAAGCCCTATCAGATACCACTTGTGATTGACTGAGTGTTCCACGGAGGAACCCGCACTCAAAGGAACATTGTCATCGGAAAGATGATAGACACAATCACTGTGAGATTCGCCAGCCAGAGGCGGACTTCCTCAGGCCTGTCGAGGCCGTTCGGTAATGACCTGAGCATGGATCATCGCCCAAGTGGAAATAAACAACTGCCACAACTTCATACGGAATGGTGCTGGTTGAGTCATCGACTTGATTGTAGCAGCATGGAATACGCACAATTGAGCCTGCCGCAATAGAGATTTCAGAAAAACTTTTGACTGTTTCCCCATGCAGACGTGAATATCTCTTCAGCTGAAGTATAAGCAGTTTTGGAGCTGGCCGTGTCAGTACATGTAGTAGACCCATATGCAAGCGAGCATGCCAATGGAAAATGCAATGCTGCAGTGTGCCTCCGTTGACCTCCAGTGCAAGAAGGACGTAGCAAAGACCTGAATCCACAATGGTCATATGGGCATCCGCACCCACTTCCATGACCCTGGATCCCCAGCGTCCAGAATAGGCTCCCGGCTGGGCAAAATCGAAAAGATGCGATAGGAAGTCAGCCACATCATGTTGACACTGGGGCCTCCGCCAACCTGAAACAGCATGCTGCCACGGAAGGAGCGAAAGAAGAAAAATCCCGCCTTGGGTGCGATGCAACAACTGCATTGCCATTGCAAGCCTGCCAAAGGAGAAGAGAGGATCAAATCCTTGCCCCATCCACCACAGCATAAAGCTGCACGCATTCCTCAAGCGGTGAGTCCCGGCGCCGGCACTGGCGCTTCCATGGCATTCGCCGTAGGCTCCATCTTTTGAGTGTCCTGCATGGTCCGCCGCCACCTCGGTCTGTGTCCAGCCACCGGACGATTCATGGGAGGGGAATCTCTCCGAGACCACCCTCGCCAATGGCTGGCGTTCCATCTTGGCCCTTCCAAAATCCAACCGAACCCACTCAAGCAAGCAGCACGGCACACAAATCCATGAAGCTCACCAGCCTTGCGACCAAGCCCACTGGTCTTAGTCTTACTGTCTTACTGAGGACAGCCTCACGGTTGATGGGCTGCTGTTCTGCACATCATCGGCTCTCAAGCTGGCCCAGCACATCAAGAGTAACACGAATGCCATGAATCGCAATCCCACCTCGTAGCTGGGCCTGCACACCACAAGCTCGCATACCAGCATCACCACAGATGGCAGCATCGGCGCAGGCTTGGCCGGTGGTGATCCAGTCTCCAACTCTGCGCTCCATGACCTCACGCTCTCAAGCAGAAGCTGGTCTTCACTCAGCCGCTGTTCCGCAGGTACCATTCCCACAACATCAAGAAGGGAGATGCTTGCCAATACTGCCCGAGGCACCGTCCTCGCCAGTGTAGCAACAGCATGTCTCTCTTCCAGATATTTCAAGATTAGCCCAGCATCGGCCTCCCGGAACTCCAGCCGTAACCAGAAGCCACTCCCTGGCTGGACTGTCATCCAGGTATGTGCTCGGTTGCGAAGGGTTTTCCCTCGCCTGTTCCCGAAAATTCTCAACCGAGTGGCCTTGTTGTCGCCCAATACTGCAAGATGCTCTGTACACGGAAATTTGGATTGCTTGATGTAGAGAACCAACTGCGTTGCCCATCTCTCTCGAAGCTTGACCTCCACATCTTCTCGGCTCCCGCTCGCCTTGCTGGTTCTCACTGCCCTCTTCAGCTGCGACAATGCAGCTGCGGGTGTCGCCTGCACCACATCCTCGAAGACCTCTAAAATCTCCTTCTGCTTCCGTGGAACTTTCACAGGCAACTCGAAGACATGTCGCTGCAGTATGTGTGCACTGGAAGGACCTCGCCGCATCAGCTTCTTCTTCCACTTCCACAAACTTGCAGCTATTTGCTCAATTTCATGAGCTGGTCTCTTATCTTCCACAAGCTCTGCCACGTCTCAGCTGCTTCGCTCTCATCATCAAATGTTCCACCGAACTGCAAGATATTTGAATGATTCTCGTGCACTGCAGCAACCAAGGCAGGATCAAGACCATGCAGCTCTGACCAATCAGCAGATCTCGTCGAAGCTGGGCTCGCTGCGACATCTCTATCAGCCGCAGGTCTATCCCGCCCCAATCACACAAAATTTCACTCGTGCCAAATTAGCAACGTCATCAGCATAATCGGTCTGTTCAGGACAGTTCTACACCACGCAACACCAAAAGGCTACGAGGCTACTGCGAAGCACAGCGGAAAGCAAAAGTCGGCAGTGGCTTCACTCGCACTTCTCCACTTTTTCTTTCGGCTTGCCGGAAACTCGACTGCTCTGTCTTCGAAAGCATCCGGGGTCTTTGACCTTCCGGATGGAAAGCTGAGCTGAAGCAGCGGAGCAGTCGAAAAGCCCAAGCAAGAAACTGGCAAGCCGAAACCTCGCAAGACGCTCTAGAAGCCAAGTGGAGAAGTGAGGTGAGGAAGCAGAAAGCAGTGCTACTTACGCTTGGTGGAGCCACGGTTTGTAGGGCCCAAGCTGTCAGCTGACGGAAGTTGCCATTTCAGAAATGTGTCAGCGGGAAAAAGTTTCTTTCAGAAACCTGATGTTTTACAAAAAGGTTGAGTGATATCAAATATCACGGACATCAATCATATAAGACAGAATCCTTCAAATAATAATGGAATATATTTCAATACCAAAAGTATAAAGTATCAGATCCTCACAATATATAAAAGGAGGATCCAAGGAGTTGTCGCGCCACACTCTTTTTATTCGCACGGTGATCTGGGGTGAATTCTAATTCGGGAGCCCCCACAGCTCCGGCCAAACCTATGTTCGAGCATCACGGGTTTGGCAAGCTGAGATTGTTCAAGATCAAGGAGGGCAGCGTCCCGAATGCCCCCCCCCCGTCCGCATTGGGTGGGAGGGTGGGAAAAGAAAAATTTCTTGCCTCTCACTTTGAGCAGACTCGCGGGAAAGATAGAGATCTCCGATCTGCCATGTCAAAGAAATGAGGTTCATGCAAGAAATGTTTTCCAAAAACCTCCGATGTAAAACACGGCAGCTTCACTGCCTGTCAAGTTTCCAAAAGAAAGAAAAGTCAGAAAGCAGAAAAGTTCTTCTTTCAGAAACCTGATGTTTTACAAAAAGGTTGAGTGATATCAAATATCACGGACATCAATCATATAAGACAGAATCCTTCAAATAATATTGGAATATATTTCAATACCAAAAGTATAAAGTATCAGATCCTCACAATATATAAAAGGAGGATCCAAGGAGTTGTCGCGCCACACTCTTTTTATTCGCACGGTGATCTGGGGTGAATTCTAATTCGGGAGCCCCCACAGCTCCGGCCAAACCTATGTTCGAGCATCACGGGTTTGGCAAGCTGAGATTTTTCAAGATCAAGGAGGGCAGCGTCCCGAATGCCCCTGACATCACGCGAACCCCTGATGAAGAAATCTCTGGTTAGAACTCTCATCATGGATGAAAGCTTCTACAACCTTGGCGCCTACCAAGCTGAGTATGCTTTGCCCATCACCTCGTGAGGGAGGGTCGGCCACGTTTGAAAAGGATGGCACTCTCTCGTACCATGCAACGCAAGGAGCCTCAGCCTCAATCACTGCAAGATAGTGGGCTAAGCGATACATGGATTCGCTCTTGCTCAAACCTTTGATTGCTGATGTGCGTGCAGCTTCGTTGTCCAGCCAGAAGATGACTCTTCGGTTGCACAGGCTGTTTTGGAGCATACGACGCAAAGTGACTAAGGCGTAGAGTTCGATTTCGCATATAAGCTGTGATCCCACATCCAGCTTCCATCGCTCCAAAAGCTTAGTGGGCACACAACCAGCAAAAACCCTAGCGCTATCGTCTAGCGTGTCTAGAACAACCGCACCTATTCCAGCCCAAGGGTCTTCCCAAGCACCGTCCGTCCAAACATGGATGGGCGGTCGCGGGTCAAAGATGCGAAGGATTCTCGGTGGCGTGGTGCTCAAGACAGCCTGGGTGGTTTTGCAGAAGCGCTGTATTTCGGCAGCAGTCGGGCGTTTCCCACGAACCAAGGATAGCAGGAAGTGGCATGCCGGCTTTAGGGATCGGCCCGCGAAGAATCCAGAGGCGTAGTTTAAAAGTCCCAGGAGCACCTGTGCCTCATGCCTGCCAAGGGTACCTCGGTCAAAGATGTTACCAAGCATTTCGGCAATGCGCTTGACACGGCCTTCTTTGTTGGCTAGTACCGCAACACCCTCGTGGAGGCGGCTGACGTCCAGCTGCATTCCGAGTACCGTGAAGGTTTCTTCATACGGTTGACCCTTTATCCCGGTCTGGGCAAAGCGCCACCCCAAGAGTTCCAAGAATTCCGAAGTCAAACCGTCAAGTTCCTGGGCACCCTCTCTCAAAGCGAAGAGAGGATAATCGTCGAAGTAGTTTGCTGAGGGGATCTTCAGCACTTTGCACAGCAAGAAATGCAGGCTTCGGGCCACCCTCACGAATCCATACACCGACGAAGTCAAGCCAAACATCAATGCGTTTGCAACAAAGAATTGTGGTTCCCCCTTCTCATTGGGATGGCAGATTACGGCAATGTCACGGTGCAGCGGTAGTACCGCTAATTGCTTGTACGCTTTCGAAAGGTCGAGGGTCCGCCCTAGCCATTGCCTAGCAGGGACACCCAGGCGATCTGAGCGTTCCTTTTCAGCCCGGGCAATCAGCAGAGCTAGGCCTGAAACAAAGTCGGCTCCTTGAAGCTCCAGCTTGATCAGGGAAGTGAAAGCTTCGTTGACCTGGGAAGCGTGCCCATCATCTATGGGTCGAACCTTCTTTTCAAGGCCTTGCTCAAGAACAAATCTAGGAATTACGCCCCAATCCGAATGGCCGAAGATCTGAGCGACCTGTGCTTCAGTGTAGGGCCCCTCGATGAAATTTTCAGCAACCTCGGAGTTAGAGGCCTCCTGAAGAAGAGAAATTTCCTCAGGGGTCGCACGGTTCGGTCTCGACAAGGCTGCACGGCGTCGCAAGGAGGCAGTAGCACGGAGTTCTGATTCAGACATGGAAGCCATAGCCACCTTTGTCTTGAAGCACTCTGGCTTTTCCGAAGTCCCTACGAGAGGCACCCCCTTTTTCATTAGATCCACTACCCCCATGTCGTCAAAACCATGATTCCTCAAAAGAGACTCCCACAGACAAATCCTTTTGCCTTTGATCACCTTCTCGAACCACGGCGGGAAGGATGCATGAAGTTTCCGCTCGTCTTCTTCCAGGGTCTTGGCGAGGAGCTTAACTTTAAGGAGTTCTAGCTTCCTAAGCTGGTTGGCCTTGGCAGAATCATGGGTCATGCAAAAGTCGACCGCTTCCAACACTTCCGGGCCAGCAGCAATCGCTTTGTCCACCGGGTGTTGCAAAGTGTGGGCTTTGGAGACATGTTGACTCATGTCAAGCCAGTGACCTACCTTAACAGGTCTAGAGCCCGCTGGATCCGAAGTTAGACCCCCACCACTGTCCCCTGCAGCGTGGGTCAGGAGGATCTTGCAAGACTTGTCAGGTTTAAATTCAGGAGTTTCCCAAGTGACCTTGTGAAACTCCGGAATAAGTGGCGCCTGGCGATGGCTTTGCTTGGCGGCCGCGGCCAGAGCTGCAGCGTGGAAGTCAGTTGCTGGTGAAAGAGTCCGGCTGGACTCAGAGGCGCAGCGAGCAACACAATCGGCCATGCGGGTGCACAGCAAAGGCGGATAGCACGCACTGAGGCGGGACGACGACCACCAGGATGCATGCTCATGATCCTGGCTACACTTCGCTGCCAAAGGAGAAAACAAGCCTTTGGAGGCCAAAAGTTTGCATTGCTTAGGGCGATCGCCCCCATGTGCGCACATGGCAAAGGTGACTTGCTCAAGCTTGCTGGGTGGCCACCTGATGCCAGCCTGAGATGCGAAGCGCTGCAAAATGTGCCACAGCAAAGAATTTGCCGGGTTTTCGACACTTACCGAAATGTTTGCTTCAAGGCAGAAGCAAACGACATCGAAGCAGAAGCGAAAAAGGGCATTTTCCTTCCTAAGCTTTATGCCTTCGGCAGAGGACCACCGGATGGTGGGCACACCTAAGCAGTGTTCCGACGTTCGGAGCTTGGTAACTTGGGGGCCCTGGAGTCTACGACCGGGCTTTGAAGCTTGGCGCTGAGAGGCTGATGCAGAACCTGCAGGCACACCCAGGTGAACGTGAAAAGGCTTGCACTGCTTCAGCATTGACATGAAGATTTCACGGCCTGCTTCCGTGGAGAAGTCCAGATTGGCCGTGGGGACCATTGCCCCAGCAAGCTTAGCGTCAAAGGCGAGGACTTTGAATCCCTTCCGAAGGCAAGCTCGAGCGAAACCCCCGGTGCCTGAAAAGATTTCGAAGATCCACGGCTCATCAGGTCGTGGGGGCTGCGTTTGCTCGGCGATCTGTAGCGGGAAACCCAAGGAGGTCGGGGGCCTAAACCCTAAGGACAAGAGGGAATGTGCCGCTTCAAGGGTGAGCTTTGACAGATCCGAGACGCTAAAGGCCACAGCAATCAGCCTGTGGCCTTGCCATGGTTCAGTGCAGTGGCTTCGGGAGTAAGCCTCAAAGGTGATGGGTCCAGCGGACACATCAAGCAGCTCGCCAGGAGTCGGTTTGCCGTTGATAGGACGGAGTTCCGAACCCTGTTCGCACTGGGCCCAGATGTGGCCTCCAGTGAACGATCCGATCGGAATGACACCTGTGGGGGACTTATGATTCAACATGCATTGACGTACCGGAATTGCAAAACAGGAAAACTGTAGTAAAGAAAAGGTCTGGGAGCTGAGCTCGGACAAAAGCTGTGATGGCTTTGGTCGTTTGTGGACAGCTCTTACACTCTCCACGCAGACCCTGAAGCCCTCCCTGAGAAAAAGCCCCAACTCCAAAATTCGGTTGCTGAGTCCTGGCGTCGGGGCGTAGAAATCCATCCGCAACGAGATGTTCATGCAACTTTTGCAGATCAAGGCGGGATGGTGGCGCATCGACTGAATTAAGTTTCTTTGCGAAACACTCCGAGCTCGGAGCTCGGCTTGCACGTTGGGCCAAGGGGACTGCCTCAGGAGCTGGCCCATCCCCTGATTGGCCATCTCACTGCATGCCATGCGTGCACTCACTGTACGGGTGATTCTTATTGCATCCTACTTTCCAGCACTGGTGATATCCTTTCGGGCACCTGCCTTTAACCACCTTGGCCTTACAAGTGCCCAAATTGAACCCAAAACAATTTGGCCGGTTCTGCGAGTCTCTGGCGGAACAACCTTCAGGTATTTCAATCCTAGGTGCACGACCCTTGCCCCCGCCTTTATTGCCTTTATCGCCTTTGCCTTTGACTTTCTTGGGCGGTGCATCATCATCGCCGTCCTGGGGCCTCTTGGTCGGATGGGCCGGTGGAGGCGGTGAGAGCAAGGGTGACAAGAACTGAGTGATGTCATGCGACACCGACAGACGCTTCAGCTCAGAATCCAATGGCTTAGCAGCACCTACCGGTTTCTGAAGCTTGCCCTCAAGGTTATTGGCTGCACGGATGAAGAGCTCCTTATCGGCTGCTACGATCTGCGACAAGGAGATTTTGGTATACCTCGTGGGAACCTGACGCTGGGTCAACTCAAAGATGGAGTTAACCCACTCCTCCATGACCTCAAAGGTGCACAGGTTGCCCAAGTCTAGGGCTAGCGATCGGCGAAAGAAAGCCTGCCGAAGCGCATAGGCGACCATTCGTGTCGCACACCGGATCAGGGGCCTTGGTCCCGAGCTTAAGGTTGCCCTCCGGGTCAATTTGGATCGATGAATCCTTCTTGGCTAAGCTCAGCTCCTGGGAACGAGAGGTCCACCTGTTCATGGGCAGGTAGCGCAAAGAATTGTTTTCCAACATGTCGGTGACCTGGTCGATGCTCGCATGAGATGGCTGATTTGATACGGTGAAGACAACACCTTTCAAGCGAGCTTGCTGGGCTTCTTGTCTGGCCAGCCGCTCGGCCGTAGGAAGTTTCTTGATGGTGTTTTCCGGCTGGCCTTCAACTCGGGTCCTCAAGTCCGCGATGTTGAGTGACTGGCTCTCAAAGAGGAGTCGCCGGATCACAGAAACTTGAAACGCAGAGGGCCTCGGGTCCACGACCGTGGCCAACCACTCATCGATGGCCTCGTCTGTCAGGGCCTGAGGAGAGCTCGCAGCAGCAAAGGCAATTTTTCCGAAGGTGTCGTAGCCTTTTTCTTTGAGCTTCCCATACAACTCCGGTGTCATGCCGATGCGAAGACACCTTTCCTGAAACGCTGCTTCGGAGTCCAAGGTGGCTGACGTCATGGCTGCAAATGAATGCGTTAAACACCCGATCTGTGATCTTTGACCAAACACGTGACGGATGATGTTTTGTCTGGTTGCATTCATCACTGGCCGTCTGCTGTGAGCCACGGCCGCAATATGGGCAGCTCAATCTTCCACCCGTGCCACGAGCCAACCCTGGCCGGCACAAAGTGATACGGTCTTCATCCATCAAGGCCAGCCCCGGGTGTCGCGTGACACCGGCTGACATTTGCATGTGGTGACTCGGACTTACAGTCATCACCGCGTTAATCAATCCCAGCGCTTCTCTCTCAAGCCAACATATGTCAAAACGGAAAGCTCCGTCGTCAAATATGTCACGCGGGCCTCGGGTGAGAAACTCACCGGCCCGGAACCCAAAAAGGGGTTTGTGTGCCCAACCTTGCGTATCAGCCCTAAGCCATCAGCCCGACAGGATTACATGTACGCGGCCACGGGCACGAATGCCGGCCGATCAGCATGGACTGTTTATGGACTTAAGAGGCGCAGACAGATCTCGGCATCACCAGGTGGATTGCAAACATACGTTCCCCACGGCTTTTATCCGCGGCGTCCGGACCTGGTCAAAACTCCGATGCTCGACGACACTGAATACAAGGCTCGGGTTCCTCCTCATCTTCAGTGGTGAAGACTCTGTACCTTGAGGTGACCGGCCTCCCGCAAAAGAAGCTTGTAGCATCCCTAAGTTTGTGTACGATGTTTGACAGGGAATGGATCATCAGCTGGTCGGCGGTGCACTCCGTAAAGGGAAGCCTAGACCCGGTAGCCCCCGCTGGGCGCCCGAAGAATTCCGCCTCGGACTCAGCGGACCTCGAAGCCAAGGACTCCAGCTCGTCGGGTTCCTCGTTCGGTAGTGCCGGAGCGTCTGGCTCCGGGCGGCTGAAATGTCTCGACGCTACAGCTGCAACCCTGTCAGAAGTCGACATGTCGGGATCGAAGTCCCCAGCTCGGATGCTCTCGAAAAGTGCAAGGAGTTTCCCAGCGAGGGAGATGTAGTACTGGCGGGAATAGATGAGATTAGATGAACCACCACGTTTGAAGTGGTGCCCGAGCAGCAACTTCTCCTTGGCACTGAAATGGACTGTGGAGCTCCATCCCACCCATGAAAGTAAGGTAGCCTTCAGACTATGTGTACCAATCGATTCGTCAGGAGAGGCCCCCATGCCAATGGTAAGAAGGAACTCCTCAAGGAGGTCCGAGCCCTCCTCCGAACTCATAGGCACCGTGGCCCAGCAACCGGCACGCTGAGACCAGGACGGAAGGCACCCCGCTGAGAAATCAAGGCCTTCAGCAGCACGAGCCTGTAGCCACAACTCCGCCCAAGGTTGGCCGCTTGCCCCTCCAGCCACGCATACGTAGGGCAGAAACTTCGTTTGGGCGTCAGCCGTCAAAGAAGTCTTAGAGCCTAAGCCTGAAGCAATAAGAAGTTGCCCACGGCCTTCACCTATCAGCTCGAGTTTCTTGACTTTTTGAGCATCCGCCCACCGGCAACATGAATGCACGCAGAAGAGCATGAGGCCGAGCACGCATTGCAGCCAAGTTGAAGTCTTGGTCATGAGCTCCTCCAAGGCTTTAACCCTCGCATACGACAAGGGGTCTCGCTGCTTGAGCGGCTCCTTGTTAAGTCGCGTGTCTCTGGCAATGCCCCGCACCCGTGATGATAGAATGACATCCAAGGACATGAAGTTGAAAACAGCCACCCCGTGCAGAAACCCCAGCGCTTCCACAAAGTGTGAGGCAGTCGAGGCCTTGGCATCCGAGCTGCGAAGCTTGTTGAAAATCTCGTAGGCTTGGGGCTCGGTCAAGCGCCAGGGCGACTCGAAGCCTAGGTCATATGTCATGATAGCCAAAGATTGCAACGAAAGAGCTCGTTTTTGAATTGTTGCGGAGGCCTTGGCCCTAAAGGCATCCGCCAGACTAGCTGCAATCACCTCGTCAGGCTCCAGACCCAAGCCTTGTTTTAGCAGGCTTGCCCCAAGGCGAGTCGCTTCCGGGTCTAGCAGTATCAAGACCTTGAAGCGTTTCAAGGCCCCGTCTCGAATGTCATCATCACTCTTGGTCAGCCGAACACGCGTCAGGCGAACCACCACAGTCCATGGGATTTCACTTGCTGCTTCCGGTGTAGGCTCCGACGAAGACGCTGCTCCCATAAAAACTTCCCTCACTCCCACTGCAGGCACAAAATTGAAAATGTCATCATAGGACTTCTGAAGAAATGTCTTGGGTGGGCTCCAAGGCAGCGAGGGCAGGTCGAGTCGTCTCTTCTTGCAGAAGGCCACCGTGGCGGCCTGTCTCGCATCATCATCAGCAGCAGCACCACACAACCAAGAAGCCGTCTCCCCCCCTGAACAATGTCAGGAGGAAGGGCTCCACGAGGTTCTATCGGAGGATCTGTCTCTCCTACCTGCGAGTACCATTCCCTTTCCTCAGCAAAGGAGGGTTCGTAAGCTAAATCAGAAGGTTCCCTATCCAACGAAGGATGGGTGGCGAGACTCCCAAGATCACACTCCGAAAGAACCCTCTCCTCAGAGAATCTGAACTCCCGAGGGCTGTTGCCCTCCTGTTCCCTCGCAAGTAGCAGGTTCCAAGGGGAGCCCGAGCAGTCTTGAGCGAGGTCCTGGTCTTCGTCACTAATCTCAACGGACTGGCCATCCCCAACCGAAACCCTGTAGTCCCGAAGTCCCCTAACACCCCCTGGCAGCGACTCGGGACTGGCTGAAGGCAGGTCCCCCAGCGACAAGGGAGGTTCAGGCGGGAAAGGTGCCGGCTCAAGTGGAGTGGAGACCTGCTCCAAAATTTGCCCTGTGACAGGGCAAGTCACTGGCACCTGCTGAGGCGCCGGAAGCGTCCCGTCCATCTAGCACCCCCAACGGGGGGGCACTGTGCACGCAGCTAAAGCCCTGAGATTAGCACCTGGAGGCTTCTAGCTTGCACAATACGGGGACTCTAGAGGCCAAAAGAAAAATTTCTTGCCTCTCACTTTGAGCAGACTCGCGGGAAAGATAGAGATCTCCGATCTGCCATGTCAAAGAAATGAGGCTCATGCAAGAAATGTTTTCCAAAAACCTCCGATGTAAAACACGGCAGCTTCACTGCCTGTCAAGTTTCCAAAAGAAAGAAAAGTCTGCAAGCAGAAAATGTTCGTCACTTGAAAGCGGAGCTGCCAGAACTCAGAAAGTGAGAGCTTGATGCGGTTCGCGGCCAGAAACTTGGCAGGGAGTTCCGCTGAGCCATCCCACCGAGAAAGCAGGTCTGCGTCGTCGTTCTTCTCGCCAGCTATGTGGCTGCAGTCCAGAGTGACACCAGTAATCGAGCTCCACATCGAAAGCTTGCGAACAAAAAGATTAAGTGGTACTTTGGAGGTGTAAAGCTTATTACACACCGACTCTGCACCACTGTTATCGCTCAAAGCTGGTAATGTCAAAGCCAAGCGACCGGAACCATGGGCTTTCCAAAAAGCCAAAAGCACAAAGCACTGTGCCAATGTCTCGTAGCTGGAGATGTCCAAGTTGGCGTCTGGTTGCATGGGCAGACCTAAGTCCAGAAAGTCTTTGACAGTGTAGCGGTGGGCGAACCAAAGCAGGCGTCCACTGGGGATGAGGAGCCATCCTCCCACGCCGCAATCATTTCCCTTGCCGAAAGCGTCAGCGGCCGACTCCACCGAACTGGTAGGTGGTGGTCGGAGCGGCCTGGGCCGCCAGTCCCAAGGGTTTCTCTGCTGGACTCAGATAAGCGCCGCTTGGAGGAAGTGGGGTCCGTGACTCGGAGCCACATGCGCTTGGTGCTGACGGGGACTAGGGCCAGGTCTTCCTTACTTTTAAGAGGTTTATGCCGAGCTGAAAGCAGGGTTGAGCCCGGTGAAATGCCCGTGCCCGGGGGGCAACCTGTGAAGCGGAGCTTGTCGTCCAGGTAAGAGTGGATGCCTGGCCACATAACAGGGCTGATGCTGACATTGGTGCCAAGTGGTCTATGCATGTCATCATATAGAGTGCATAGCCAGGGGCGTAAAGCAGGAAGACCATGCAGAATCCACTGAAGCAGACCTAGCAGTTTGTCAAGCTGTTTGCGGCTGACAAGTTGGTGCCGAAGGCATTCCTCCACCTGGCCAAGCAGCTTCAAGCGTTTGAGCTCCGGTAAAGTGTAACAGCCAGCCTTGAAGTCGATCTGCCACCCTATCCAGGTTATAGACGGCCCCATCTGCAATTTCCGCCAACTAAGCGGTATATTGAAGCAAGCACAGAATGCCAACACCAAAGAAGCGCTAAGCGGCAGTGCACGAGAGTTTTGCCAGAGAAGCAAATCGTCTACGTACAACATGAGGACGTGTGACAACCAGATAAGTAGGTGAAGGCAGCGCACAAAAAAGCCCCCTAAGCGGGCAAACCAGTGGCTCGAAAAAGTGGCCCCGAAGGGACACACGCGGTAGAAAAAGAGGCGTTCTTGTTGTCGAAGTCCAAGCAGGCCTCTGTCTTTCTCGCGCACAAGTGAAGTTTTGTGCGCTCCCTTCACATCCAAGCTGAAACCTGAAACCGGCTCCTCGTCCTCCCTCGGAGGATAAGCGGACTGAATGTCCTGGAGGCTGGGCAGAGAGAACTGTTCAGGTACGTGGCAGTTCTGGTTCGTGTTGCAGATGCTGTTGTCTATGACCAAGCGGGCAGAGCGACCGGGGGCCTTGACAATGTTCACACGGCCCACCGCAACACGTTCCTTGCCCCACCTTTCGTAAGCAGCTTCTAAGCTGGTGACTTCCTCTATGTAGCCGGCAGAGACCTCCTCCTCGATCAACTCCTGAAGCAGTGCCGGGTCTGCCTCAGCCCCCTGCCAGTTACCTTCGCAAACAAGCAGGTCAGTGGGTTCGTCTGAGTTGTTGGGATCACGAGGTCGGAGGGTGTGGCTGCGAGGGATGTCGCCATCGAACCCAGTAGGCACGCCTTTCTGCAAGGCGGGGAAAAGAGAAGTGTCCTTGTCACCCAGCAGAGTACTCAAGCGCTCCAGTGCCGACAAGCAGTAGGGTTGGCCTTCTGTCACTGAGAAGTTCCAGTCCTGGCATGGGGAGTGAGCATCCGAAAAGCGCTTGAAAGAAGAGCGAAGCCACTCCGTTTCTTCCTCTGTAAAAAGAGGTTTATTGCTGGCTTCGGCAACGTGTTGCTGGAGCCTGAGAGGAATTCTGTTTTGAAGCAGCCAAGATTGCCATTCCTTCCGCAGGTCGTGCAAGCTGTCGGACTGATACCTTGGGCCAAGGGACCAGTCGGGTAAAGAGTAGATGCCTCCGCCATCCTGAGCGGCTGTGGGCGTTGATGAACGCGGCTTTTTGGGAGCGGAGGCCAGTGCGAACTTCAAGGAGCAGGGTGCCACCGGGTAAGCAGGTCTTGCCGAAGAGAATAAGTGCACTGCCTTATCTGAGAACTTTTCGGCAAGCTGGGACGGGTACTCCGCCGTTCTCTGGGACAAAAAGTTCCCGTGTTCGTCCCTGGCTCCTGCGACAGACTGGTGGCCTCCTGCATGTGAGCATGTGCTTGCCAGAAAGCGGAATTCACTGTAACTGCAAGCGAACAGCCAAGATTTTGCTATGTCCTGTCCCACTGAGCATGCCGGGATGTTGACAAGTGATGCCTGTATTTCAGAAAGCATGTCCTGAACAAAAGGCTCAAGCCAGGACATAGCGTTGGTGGGTTGTTCCAGGGATACATGTGCGCCTGAACAGAAAGCTGCTCTCAGAAGGCATACGCAACGATATAGAAGCTTTTGGCTGCTGTGCACTCTAGCTTGCTGCGAAGCGGTGTTCCCTGGCAAACCATTCATGTGATCCGGTGATCGAATGGCTGGGGGTCCACCTGGACGAAGCTTCAAGCGGGAGTACTCCTTGCAGGGCGGAGAACCGTGAGCTAAGCGTACAATCCCAGCGAAGCACAGCCGAAGCAAGTGGTCGTAGGTGTCGTCGTTGAGAAGGTCGAGTTGCTCCTCGCCCAGTAGATCTATGGGCAGACAAGTGATTCCGTATGAAGACATCGCCGTGGTAAGTGGGTGAGCGGCCCCGCAGCATATGTCCAGGAAGAGCTCCACGCATGTAGTATCCTTGAGCGGGGGAGATATTGACTGCGGGTGGTCTGGGGTGGCCTGCGGGAGCGGGAAGCCCCCAAAGACCTCAGGTGTGCCAGTGACGTTGCATCGAAGCGTGCTAGGCTCTTGCAAGTATAGGCAGTCAATACCCACCGGTCTCCTTGTATCGGAAGCGTGCAATGAAGTGCTTCACAGCTGAAGGAGAGCGGCGCGTGCCAAGTGTCGCGCACCTCGCCTGTACCACAGCTTCGGATGCACTGTGCGCCTCGGATGAGGCGTCCACGGGGGCCGGTACCTGAGAGGCCGCTTGGTTCAAAGCGGGGCAAATCCAAACCTCGCCACCGCTGAAGTTGCCAAGTGAAACTGTGTGATTCATAGACCCTGCAGCGTTGCCAGAATCCGTGTGTAAGCGGGTGCGAACGTTGTGGCTGACGCAGAGGGAGCTCCAGGAGGCTTCAGGGAACTGAAGCTGCATAAAAGCGTTCAAGAATCGAAGGACGTCGGAAAATTGCTCGGTACGCTGAAAGATGCCCGACCTGGCGCCATTGTCAAAAGCGAAAGCCCCCAAATTGAAATATGCTTCAGAGGCTGCGATGGCATTGTCAGGGCAGTGAGAAGAAGAATTGAAGGGAATGGAAAAGTACTGCGCTAGAAGCTCCAAGCAAGTAGCGAAGTCGAGAGAGCCTTCACTGAGTGCCGATGCTGCATCGGAGACTGGGGCACGTGCCTTGGGCACTGCCGAAGTGGCACCTGCTGAGCCTGACGGTTGTGCCGGCACACTAAGCGGGACGGTCGTGACCTCCTCAGCGATGTCCCGCATCTCGCTGAAGTGGGTTTCCTAATGCGGGGTAGAAACATGTTGCGAAGCTGGATGATTGCCTCCGCAAGCTGTGCCGTCACTCTTAGGCACTGCGCATCTGTGCAAGTAGCGGCAAGTGGCCGGGTCCTTGCACTGCCCGCTCTGGTACCTCATGCAAAGCGTCTGGCGTTTACCATCCAGGAAGAGGGTGGAAAGCCACTTGCCGGTGGGGGTGGCTTGCTTGTTGTCCTTGCCCTTGCCACCTTTGCCCCCTCTCTCGAAGCGCTCACCCTTCTCGCCTTTGCCGTCACGGCCTTTTCCTCCACGGCCACCGCCTTTGCCGCCTCCACCGTTGCCTTTGAAGCGGGCCTTCCAGCTGTTGTCCGGGTCGAACTTCGGTTTGGGAATAAAGGGCCTCGGTGCAAGCAGGCTGTGCATGTCAGAGCGCACCTCGGCCACTTCGTGAAGCGCATCGTCCAACTTCCAGTGGTGGACATTGACTAAGTCGGCGATGATTTCCCAACAGCGGCGGTCAGCGGCCTGGGCTTCCATAGTAGTGGGACCTCGTAAGCTGGCGGCGGCATCGTACTTCGTGAAGCAGATCCTCATGAAGCCGTTTGTTATAAAGCTTCAGAGAGCCAAGATGTGCACCTTGGCAGAGCGCAATGGAATTGGCCGCCAGTGACATAAGCTGAGTGACGAGGCCAAAGGAAGCGGGGCCTTCATGTATGTCACGTGTAGGCGCCTCGTCCAGAAAAAGCTCTGTTAGGTCAAATCGTGCCTGTTTCCTGGGCCGAACAAGGAGACTGTCTTCTTGAGCACGAGCGCTTAAGCGATACTTCCAAGGAATCCATCGCACCTCCTTGTCTGAAAGCATCTTATTGGTGAGGGCCAATAAGCGGGCGCTTGGGAAGCTCTCGGCGTCAAGAAGTTCAGTGGGGTAGTCCTCCTCGAACCTCTTCCTAAGCGCTGCGGTTCGCTCTCCACTCAGACGCGCAGGCCAGGCCTCTTGCCAGGAGCTGGAAAGCGGAGGCGTGGCCGGGGGGGCCGGGTTGGAGGCTGAAGGCCCGTCACCAAGCGGTGTGAGGGGAGTAGGAGCGGCTTCTAAAGATGCCATACCCTCTGACGTTCGGCATTTGCAAAGAAGCAAGCGAAGCGAGGCTTTGGTGATGAAGCGCTCAGCGGCATCGGTAACTGAGGCTTCCGCCACAAAGTGGTTCACCAGCTCTTCAAGCTCTGCCGAAGTGGTGCAGGACCGGGCAAACAAAGCAACATCGAATGCCGAAAGCAAAGAGGCGACAGCTGCTGGCACATTGCATTCGGCCACTAGTTGCGTGAAGTCAGACATCTTCGCTTGACCTGAAGCAGGTGCGCATACTACCAAAAGGAGGCGAAGCACTGAAGCTGAGGGTGCAGCGTTGCCCGTAGTGGTCCTGCAGCAGGGAAACATGTTGTTGGTGCTGACAAGTGGGCATCTGTGGCCTGTAACGAGGGAGCGCGGGATACCCAGAGCGGGGGGGGCCGGAAATCTTTCTTGATCCAAGCGGGAAACAAGAGTGAAAAACGAGCCACAAGTTCAGAGCGTGAACTGTTCCAAAGCGGGCGGAACGTGTGCCTGACAGCTTTTTCAAGCGGGAAGCGGAGCTCGAGTATGTCTGGCTTCGGAGAAGCCGGGCGCTTTATACCCACAAGCCCAAGCGGGGCTGCCCGTGATCTATATGGGCAAGCCCAAAAGTGGGCGATTCAATGCCACAGCCGGCATAAGCATGGAGCGGGAGCGAAAGCATCATTGATGCTGCCAGTTGCGGCCACTCCAGTTCCAGGATCCCCAAGCGGGTTGATCATCCCAGCCGGACTGGTTCTGGCCCCACTCCTCATAGCCCTGGCTCCATTGTGAAGCGGCTTCTTGACGCTCTCTTACCACGGGCCCTCTTGCAGTCTCTGCATAAGTGGGTGGTGTGGTAGCTGTTGGAGCGGTCGCTAAAGGTAGCCTGGCAGTGTCCAAGCGAGCATTGGGAGCACTGCTTACGGCAAAGCTGGACTAATTGAAGCGTGGGGTTCCCCTCACTGTCGTAGATGGTGTGCCCCAAGCGGCTCGCTGGGGCCTCGCTCGCCAGAAGTGGGGCCCTGTTGCCCGACGGAATAGCCGTAGCCGTGGCCGAAGCGGGCATTGGCGTTGTAGAAGCGGGCGTTGCCTCTCTAGCAGTGCCCGCATTGCCGTCGGTGGCCCCAGTTTCTGCAAGCGGAGGCGGTGGAGCTTTCTCCTTGGCCACAGGAGAGGCGCTGGGAGTCGGTGCGGCCGGTGCCCCTGAAGCCGAAGCGGGCTTCGGCGGTGATGCCACACTCTTGGCCTTAAGCGGAGGGCCAGACGGAGCCGGGGTTGAAGAACTCGCCTTTGGTGAAGAGGGCGGCCGTGGCGGCGGTTCCTTCACCTCGGGTTCCCGTTGCCAACGTTTTGCGTTGGCAACACCATCGCCTCCGCCACCAGTGGTGACGCTGCCCCCGGCGCCATCTGCAGGGGTCCCGGAAGCGGGTGCACCGTCGTCCTGGGTGGCCTCGGGCTGCTCCGCTGTAACAGAAGCGGGTGCCGCTTTGGCCGGCGGTGACGGTGAAGCAGCCGGCTCCATTGAAGGTAAGCTGTAATCCTCGGCGGCGATGTTTTCCCCTATGGGGTCTTCCATAAGTGCTGTGACAGGTTGCACAGCGGGTGCCTCCACCGAGGATGAGCTCGTCGTGGATGCTGGAAGAAGTGGATCGCTCTCCAGCTGCTTAAGAAAGCGGGTTTTCTCCTCGTCAGTCATGGTCTTGAGGAGTGTAAAGGCGTACTCAGGGGAAAGTTTCGCCATGACCCAAGGAGGCAAGAAAGTGGGCTTAAAGCGCATCTCGAGCTAGGAAAAGCAATGAACATGAAACTGTGGCACTCGATGCAGGAAGTTAGCAGCATGCCTAAACTGATGCAATCCAAATGCAGTGCGACCACGTCGGATGTTTTAAGAGCTGGCTGCACTCAAGCTGCATCAAGCGAAGCCATGATGCAAGCCCGCCGCTTACATAAGCGGGAGTCGGGCGGAAAATGGACAAAAGGTGAAAATTCCGAGATGCATCCACAAGCGGGGTGGCATCGTACTGAACAAGAAGGGTCCCTGCAGGCCAAGCACGTCATGCGGGAGCCGGGGTGGGAAATGCAGGAGTGTGCCACCCCAGAGGCTCCCAAGAGGTATCGTACCTCTTTACAGCTAGAGCGGAGTCCCTGAGCGGGGGGAGCAGCAAGCGGCTGCGTGTTGTGTGAAAAGCTAGATGCCTCACCGGACTCAGCTTGCCATGTGGGGTCGACCTCCGGATCACGGGTCGCGCTGGAAGCGGCACGAGCCGGGCCTGATTCTTCCGCATCGGAGTCCTCGAAGTGGTCGACCTGGGTACGAGCACGAACACATGGGGGAAGCTTGGCACCGGAACGTGAAGAGCCGCATTCCCGGGCGTCGCGGAGGTCACCATCCTGCTGCTCTAAGGCTAAGAAGGACTGACAATCGTTGCCAACTGAAAAGCAGGAGAGGTCCGGGCAGTACTCCACCCACTGGAAACCTGCAGTGTCCACAAGTGGCTCAACAAGCGGTGACTGGCCGCCTCTGTGCTGTGGTCTTGCTGGACGAAAGCCGGCATGGATTGAACGCCAAAGCAGCCACTGTGCACGCAAAGCGGGCCACACATCGTCCCGCGAGTAAAGTTGAGCCGACCCTGGCGCCTTGTGGTGCCCCTGCAGGAAGCGAGAGGAAAGTGGGATCGACAGCTGACTCATCCAAGACAGAAAGGTTGTCTTGAGGCTGTGAAGCGTGTATTGTGCTGCCTGAGCCGGTGCGATGCCAGAGAGTGTAAGCATGTAGCGAAGCTTCTGCAGGGCTTGGGAGTAGGATGCAGGTGCAAAGCCGGTCTCGCTCCAAAGGAAAAATAGACAGTCGGGTTCCGGCTGGGGCCCAAAGCGGGAGCGAACCTCGCACCATACTGTGTCCAATGCCCCAAGCCAGTGGGGAAGCCATGTCATGCCCCAGTCCTCGGAGGAGGAGAAGGCTCCAAAGCTGAGGAGGCCCCATGGGCAGCCCCCTTTAGTGGTCTTTGTCCTGTAGCAGATTCCTCTCAAAGTAAAGCTGCTAACGCAGAGCGTGCTCCATCGAACATGTTGTGCATCTGCAAAGCGGAGGCTAGCACCAATGGCCACAAGGAAGGAGCCTGCCCAGATGATGTCCATCAAGCTTGCCTTGTCAGACAGGAGCATGCGTTCAAGAAAAGCGACGAACGACAAGGGGAGAGGTATACTCTCGCGTTTCTCCTGCACGGCCGGGTTGGAGAGCAAGCTGAAAGCGGTGCCATACAAGTCGGGCAGACAAGCGATTGCCAGAAGTTTCTTGTACCACCGGAGCGCCTTGAGGACGTTGATGCTGTTTGAAAGGGGGCCTGAATCAGCGCCTCGAGACAAAGCAAAGAAAGCATCGAGGAACAGCCCCTGATCGATGGCCTTCATGCTGCCACCCAGCTCCTCAAAGGCACAAAAGAAAAGCTGAACAGAGCGAAGGTAGCGGGCAGCTGTGGTGTCGCTAACCTTGTTCAGCAAGCGGGACCGAATGACGGCTCCCTCGCGGCTACTTTCAAGCTGCTGGAGCACCGAGCTGTAGGCCCCATGCGATTTGCAAAGCTGGTCGAAAAGAACCTTGTTCCGCTCATCGCATACCTGATGATTGTCCTTGCTCGTCATCATGCCAGCTGAGGGAGCGCGCAAAGCCGGGGGGTGCAGTTCTGAGGGCACTCGCAAAGCTGCCGGTGAGGACTGGACCGGTCTCGGAGTAGCCAAAGAGATTGATGCCTGAACAGGAGTCTGCTGAAGCGTAGGATATGCTGCATAAGCCGACGCGTCCTGAAAGTGCGGCAGTGCCTTCGCCGCCGGGAAGTTTTGTGGTGTAGACTGCTGAACAGGTACAATGCTAGGGGCCTGAAGCGGGGCTGAAAAGGGGGAGCGTGGGCGGAGCCGAGCCACTGTAGGCTGACGCCCGTTGTGCCCCACCTGAAAAGGAGAGTTGTACCTTCAGCACACCCTTGGAGCCCGCCAAGTGGGTGCCCTCGACGTAGCTGACAAGCTGGGTTGAGGAGGGGTGGATCGCAGCGGCAAAATCTGAAAAGTCGAAGTGCCTGAAGTGAACCCCTCAAAGGAAAGCGTCTCGGCCTCCGGCTGGTTCTGCTCTATAAGCTGCCAAGATTGATCACCGCTGGATGCACCTGGGCTGTTTTCCATAGGTAGGGGAGGAGTCACCGGGGCACAATGTGCTTGGTGAAGCCAGCGGTGCCGAAGCTTACTCCTGGGTTCAAAAGCTTCCTCTGCATCTGAGTCAGCAACCTCAAAAGTGGGTGCTGGAGCTGGAGGCTGAGGATTAGTTTCTGTTGGATCTGCAAAATCAGCAAAGTGGTTGCGAAAAGACTCCCTGAGCTCCAAAGCTTCTTCAGCAGAACAGAATGGTGAGGAGTCAGCCAAGAGTATATCCGTAGCCACCCTGCTAGAAGGCAAAGCTGGAGCATCACCACCAAAAGCTTCTGAAACGTCCATGATCAAAACCAGATCCTAAGTCTTGCCACTGTCTCCGAAAGCGTCTCTCGAAGCAGGGTCACAAGTGACCTGACCTTGATGGCAAGCTTCTGAGTGGCTTCCTCCAAAGCGGTGGTCCTGTCACACAAGTGGAGGAGCCAGCCGCGGCCCTGATGGACCTGGTCCTCCAAGCGGTGCCGTGCAAGCGGGATATCTCCGCTCGCTGGGCTGCACTCTCAGCCTCCAGGTCGTATAATCTGTCACAGAGGCCTCTGACGTCGTCGGTCAGGCCCGCTTCCAATAAGCGGAGGTCGAACTGTCGAACCTCTCTGTCCAGATCCTGAAGCACTGCCCGAAGCTGCGGGCTGTAGGGCGCAGGCTCGTCTTCCATGCAAAGCAAAGGCTGGAGCTATTGCACTTAAAGCTGCTGAAAAGTCGTCCTGACAGCTCAGAACTTAAGCTAGAAGCACATGCAAAAGCACAAAAGCTGAGCTAAAGTTTTTTTGAAAAGCAAGCAGCTGTTGCGTGGTGTATGCTTGAACCCAAGCGGGGCCGCGGGGTAAGAACTGCCGAAACAACCCTGAGTGAACACAGGAACCGTTCCCAAGCAAGGAATGCCTTCAAGCACAAACAAGCAAGTGAGGTCGTGGAACTGCAATCCAAGAAAACTCCCAAATACTTTCCAACGTGGTGCAAAGCGATGTTTTTCACTTTTCCCGGCCCACCCTCCCGGCTCAAACCAGACAATCCTTTTGGGAAACCCAAAGGTGAGCACCAGAAGCATGAGCAAACTGAGCCCTAATCCCGGAAGACCTCGCCGTACGCAGTCCGAACGCTGTGGCGACCACGCTGCTCCCTATAGGCACCACGTAGCGCCCTAAAGACATCGTCGAGGTTCATTTTGCTTACTTTTCTGTGTGGCTCTCAGGTTCGGCCACGGTTATAAGTCAGAGCAATGAGCAATGCACACCAAAAGCGTGTGCCAAATGCGCAATCCAGGCCCACGAACTTCCCAGATGTTTGAGGAAATCCGCACCATCCATCGTTCATGGAAGAAGCCAAAAATTTGTGTAGATTGAATCAAAACATGGTCACGGCTGTGCTTTTGCAGTTTCGCCTCAGGCATGTGTGCATGAAGACAGAGCCGCAGCGGTTTCTGCATCACCTGCAAACAGTCATCCACTGCCTCTGGCATCCTCAAATGACAGCTCCGCATGTTCAAACGGCCATAGTATGTTCACATGACTGACTGACTGACTGACATATGACATCGAAAACACTTCCTGTATACATAATATATATATATATATATATATATATATTTCCATATTGTCTTGAAAAATGTTAAACATATGCCTTCCAATCTTCCCACGCCGCCTGTCTCAGCTTAAATGGCCGGCTACATTTGTTGAGACGGCTGAATGGCAGTCGTCACTGCCTGACATCATTCTGTTCTCCCACAGGAACCATAGGGATCAATGTATTACAAAAGTATCGGCATCATGTTGTCAAATCTTTCAATGCGCGTTTCTCTCATCGTAAACTGGCGGCTACGGATGCTGAGACGGCTAAAAAACCATGGTCCAACTGAAATCGATATGTATTTCCATACGAAATAGTGTGCCGAAAAAATATATCAGAATAGGCTTGAAAGGCATGCTCAACAGCAAATGTTTCTCAGAGCCAGCACGAACGATGTGAATCTGAGCCGAAGGCACCCTGATGTGCTGCACATCACACAAGTGAAAAGCGAGACTGCGCGAAGCACTGTGCCAGGAGCGATCCCGGTCCGGATTCATCGGACTTCGTCAGAGGAATCCAGCACCCCTGCCAACGCAACAATGTTGCACATCCCCGTCGCGGCACTCACGATGCAGCGACAGCAGCCTGAGCTGCCTCAGCTGCCGGAGCTGCACCATCACCCACGACTGCATCCGCGGAAAACTGTTTGGCCACTTCCTCCATCTTCTCGGTGTTGCGGCCGCCACCACTCTTCAGCAGCTTGACTGCTGCCAGGTAACTGTTCTTGGATGCAACACCATCGATGAGATAGCTTTTTCTCACACCGTAAGTCAAGGATGATGTGCTTGAGACCTGTTCCGCGATGATCCAGCCCTGAGGCACAAAGCAAATGTCATCTTGGTTTAGCGTCGTGGCGTAGCCAAGGTTCTCGTCAGCATGCTCAATGAAGTACGTGTCATCCAAACTCAGAATAAAGTCCGTGACATCTGAGAGGTTGTTTGGCGCCTTGTTCACGCCCTCCATTTGAGTCACGATCTTGGCCACGTCAAAGGCTACCATACTCACAGACCCCATAGCCACGACACGGATCATGGATGCAGCATTGGGAGCCAGGAAGGCGCCAGACATCTTGTTGTCGAAACCCCAATACCACAAGTTGGCCTGAAAGAGTGCCCCGTCTGAAAGCTTGGAGAGGTCCAACAACTTTGTAGTCGGAGCAAACTTCTGCATCATCGCCTCGCCTTGCTCTTTTCCCTGCTTTTGCAAAACAGGGGCCATGGCCCTGCCATCAACCTTGATCGAGGGAGTCTTGCGATATGCCCCGCCAAACTCAGAGAGTTTCACACTGCTGTCTGAGTGATTCCTCCAAGTCTTAGCAGCTGCACTTGCCCGCATGACCCACGGCACATTCACGTTCGCGGCGACGTCAAAGTTCTCGCCGGAGTGAACCAAGAAGGCCTTCCACGAGTCCTCCTTGATGCCGAAGATGGGGTGGGCCTGCTTGCTAAACATCCTGGCCTTTTGGGCTGCATTCTTGGCGGCTTCCTTCGCCTTCAAAGTTTGCTCTGCCTCCTGCTGTCTCTTTTTCTTGGCCTCTGAACGATCCTGGGAAGCCTTCTTCTGCCTGATGTAGCTCTGAGCATCGTTGCAGATCTTCAGGATCGATTTCAAGAACAAGTCCACTGTACATAGGTGCGTCTTCATGAGCGCGGTCTGAAGGTCGTTCACTTCCTGAGCTGTCTTGCAGGCCCGCATCACATGAGCCTGGCACTCGAAGTAGCCCTTCCAACAGAGCAACGCACACTTTTCAAAGCACACTTGAGCCTACAGTCACGCACGTCGTACTGGTCGTGGAAAACAGCAAAAGGGGTTTCTACAAAGTTTGTTACCCCCCTTGGAACTCAGACGATCCACTCGAGTGAGTTCCACTCCAAACGGCGCTTCTATGAGCTGTTAGCCCATCTCTCCGGAGAGAACTGAAGTTCACCGAAAAAGCACTCTGTACACACCACAGCTTCAAACTACTGATGTCGGGCCTCTTCTTGCGGAGGGAAGGAGATTTTGTTCTAGTCCCGACCATCCCATACAGAGTAAAACAAGGACATATGTGAGCTTTGGCATCTTGGGGCCCTTTTCTTGTTCTAGGTTAGAGCTCACATCTTTACCAAAAGCGTGGTGACCAAAACGGCTCTTTACAGACATTTGACTGCTGCTAGAAACAGGCTTACGTCCAAAAGCAACCTCGGCACTTACAGGCCAAGAAGCTAAAAGGAAAACTCTACGCTCAAGTCTTTCAGGTTTCACGTTCACGGCTTACACTGCTTGCAGGCTTTGAGCTGCTTGTTCACTGCAACCTGGCGGTCGATCTTCTTAACATTGGATGGGAGATGACTCATCCAACGCACCACGTTTCCACACGAGACCTTGTGGTAACTCTTGCCGCGCTTCGCCTCGCCGATGATGTAGACCTTGTCCTCAGGATCACCGCGAGGATCATGAGGAACGTCCTGGACCTCGTTCTCGACGTTGTGCTCCTCCTGCTCCTCGCCGTCGTAGTAGTAGCTCTGTGTGTAAGCTTCGTTGGCTCCCCCTTCGTCGTCACTGCCGTGTGCACCTTCAAAAGGACAAAGAAGCCAACGCTCATCTCCACCATCGCGCGCTGTAGAACTTGAGGGCTGACTCGCCCTCCAACTTGTGTCTTCACAAGTGCCACCGGGCTCGCCATGGTTAGCGATGCCATCCTCAATGATTCCTAACTCCCGGGAGAACCACTGATGTACTCGATCTCGCACTTGGTTCATGTTGTCGCTGGAGGCGGTGGACTCGCGATTCCAGCGCCTCTTGGGCGCCATGTAAATCACCAGTCCGATCATGCACACCATCATCACAAAGAACATTGCGAAGTGAAGCTTCTGCGCACTCAGGCCGAACAGGAACTCAAACCCCGAAGTCGTACTCGAAGCATGGCCGCTCATCTGCGCAAACTGGCCGGTCACAACTCCCCCCTCGAGCAAAAGCGCTAAAGCTCTAAGGATTTGACCGGCTCCCATGTTGGTCGCGATTGGCGTGGCACTAACTTGGTTCACCATCACACTGTGGTTAATGCCGAGACCCATGAGGCTCATGAGATGATTCATCCTGGTACGCGGATGCGGCTTCGTCTGCAAATCAGCTGGGCAATCTTTGGTTGGAATGGCCTTCGTTTCATACACTCCTTCGTTGAGCGCTTTCTGCGCCCACAAGTACCCTAAGCTGATGTGTCGAGTTCTTCCTAGCCCTTGGCGTTGAAGGATACTTCTGGTAGCCGCATTGTCGACCATGTGCACCAACTTTACCGTAGCTTGGGAACCAACCAAAAACTGCAACATGTGCTTAAGGAATATTCCCTCCGAGAGTCCAAGCAAGGTGGCCATCAGCTCGGACTCGGCAGAACTGAGGCTGATCGTCTTCTGCACTTTGTTACCTGCGTGGCACAGGTTGCCGTTGAGGAATATGCAGAACGAAGATATCGATCTCCGATCTGAGAAGGCTTGGCTTCCCCAATCTGCGTCAGTCACTACCTCCAACACATGGTGTGCTCCAAACGGCATGTTGGGATCTTCGGGTTCATCAGGATCTACACCGTCCCACTTCTGCTTCAAGGTCTTCCCTGGCTTGGTCCTCTCCAACCTAATCGGGATCACTGGGTGTAACTTGAGGTACTTCACGACATGACGCAACAGACCAAAGTCCTCAACGGTAGGGGAACTATTCCTCGAAGACAACACCTTCACCATGTACTGCAAGTCTGGTCTCTCAGCACTCATGTACATGAGGATACCCACGCACCGCTTATAGAGGTGGAGGTGCTCGGAGTCTAAGCTCGCTCCTTGCCCTGGCGCGGGAATCTTGGGTGGACTCGGATTTTGCTTGCCGTGAGCTTTCTCCAAACCCAAGATTGACTGAAGCCTTTCTGCATACTTTGTATCCTGGGTCACCTCAATGGCGTCACCGAGCCCTTGGAACTTCTTCTTCAAGAAATGGGAACAGCCACTACCCAAGTCAACGGGGCCATCCACTTTCAACCTCAAGCCTTCAGCCTTGAGGTCACTGGCCAATTGCATGGGCGCACCCCTGGGTCCTAGAATTTGCATATCATCGACATGGCTGTTCAGCGCCAACTTTTGCTCTACGCAGAACAGAGAAGGGTTGCCGATGAAGCTGTTGAGGCCTTTGTTCTTTAGGATCCCGAGGAGGTGGGTGAACCAATCTTTTGCCCCTGCTCTCTGACCGGGTAGATTGTAAAGGAGTTCTAGGTCGCCGATGTGGGTCTGGATGTACGTGGGCCGCCTCTGTCTCACTTGCAAGTAAGCGTCGGTAATGTCGACGCTCAGCAGCTCCAATGAGCTGTTCCCTGCAGCCAAACACGCAAGTAGTTTGTGGCTACAGGACACCGAAGCAGGACTATACAGGTCCGTCAGCGAGGGCTCGAGAAACCGGTATTCTTTTGCAACAAGCCGTGCACGACGCAACCAACCATTCCTATATCGCCAGTCCAGCACATACTTGCATTGAAGACGCACTTTCCCTTCTCTATCTTGCTCTCCATTCATCGGTCTCAGCACTGTCATGCCAAGGAGGCGGTCGAGCTCCTTGAGCTCCATCTGCTTGTCAAGGTCAGCCAAAGCCTGAGCTTCGAGTTCTGGGGGTCCCTCTACATACTCACGGCCTTCCCAAGGCATCCCTGCGTCACCTCTCTCACCGTCAGAAGTTTCGGGAACGCCTTCCTCTTCACTTGCAAAGCCCTCGTCGCACTGCAGCTCCAAACTCTCTTCAGGGTCACACACCACAATGTCATCTTCGTGTCCATGCGGCTTTTCTGCATCTACCACACGAACGGGAAACCACTCAACCCTTCCAACCTCCATGTCGGCTGGGATGAGCTCGTGTGAGCTGTTGCTGGCAGCTCCACTCAACCCATCTAAGATGCTCTCCCCGGGGCTGCCTGCAGGTGCTTCTGAAGTCGCCGAGGTTGGAGGATCACTGGCCGCTTCGTCCCCGGGTGGTGCAGCAGAAGGTGCTGCATCAACAAGCAACGGAACCCGTACTCGGGGGCCCCGAGGAACACGCATGGTGACTACATCTTGCAAAGGATTCCAAGGAACACCGCGCATTGCCAGCAAAGCATCTGCTTGATATACTTCAGCTGCTCTCCGAACTGTCCGTGCATACCCTATGCCCTTGCTGGAAGAGACGATGCTCAAAGAACCCATTGAGGAACGGCCGAGGTACACACACTTTTCCCATGGAATCCCTTTCGTCTTCGGCTTGGGTAACAGTTGGCAAAAGACGACCGACCCAAACGCTGCAATCTTTGCATCGAACTTTCGCCCATGGACCAACTCGAACGAAGTGACCCCATCTGTGTGAACATGGTAACGCGTCAGTAAGAAGGCTGCATGCCTGAAGCTCCACTGGTACAACGGGTGGCTCGATTTCAACTCGACTTTCGAATTGGCAGACACGGTGTGCAAGAGGCAAAGACCAAGGCGGCGAACTTTATCTATGTAGCGCTCTGCTCTCAATCCCTGATGTTCACTGGAGTCGGGGTTTGCCGTCTCAATCTCAGTCTTTAACCCCAACCGTGTCCTAGCCATCTGCACCATCTGCAAAAGCTTCTTCATTGAAGGCTCGCTGTCCCCTCTAAGGGTGACCTGGTCAAAGCCGAGGATCGAAGCCATCTTGACCAGCTCTTCCACGGCCGGTTTGTTGTCCTCAGCTGCTTTAGAACGAACCGGCACACAGACCACGTACTTTGTAGTGTGGCACACTGCCACCAACTGAGTCGTCAAGGGGTGCTCATCATTCTCAGTTTCTCCTGTCCTATTGAACATCCAGTCTACCGAGATAACCGGCACTTCTCTCTTCGGCTGAACCTCTGGATGCGGATCCTCCCTCGAAAGGGCAGCTTGGCAGCTCTCACACCAATCGGCCCGAGGGAGGTGAGTCAGCTCGTGAAGCATAACGGTTTGAGCGTCGGGGCGTTGAGGAAGAGGGCCGTGATTGACATCAGGGGTGTACTCTGCTATGACTGCATCACTTGCTTGCACAGCTGACTTGAGCTTGTTGAGTGCAATCTCTTTCTGCAAACGCGTCCACAACAAACTCTTAGCACCACTCTGCGGAAGCTTCAAGTAGCGGCACGCCCAGCGAAGATCACGAAGGCTAGAGGTTTCACGAAACTCCTTGTCACCTACCTTCACCACCTCGCCTTCCAATGGCACTTCTTGCATCTCCGGTCCGCCCACGGGCGCGCCTGGCTGTTGAACTCCATCATCTGCTTCTCCAGGTTCGGCAGCTTCTTCTTGAGACGCAGCAGGTAACCTGGGAACCAGAGGGGATTGAGGGTCAGCAACAACTTTTCCCAGGTCAGTGGCAGCCAAGGCGTTCTGAGTCAACAAGGTCACGATCCTAGTCGGCTGGCACCCTATATCCACCACAGGCTTCAACTCCCAATTCTCACCGCACTCGAAAATCTCAAACCTGTTCTCCCCTTTGTGCACCAACGTGGTACGAAGAGGCAGGATCTCGGGGTCATAAAGCTGGCTGGGGTCTGCAGTCACTGTAGAGTTCCATTGCACATGTGTGGGCGTTGATCCCGAAGTCACTTGCCAGCCTTGCCGCTTGAGTCCAGCTAAGAACTCATCGCTCACCTCAATCACCACGCGTACACAAGCTTCTTCGGTCCTCAGAATGCGCATGGTGGCTGCAACAGAATTTCGGGCAAAGTGGAGGGGAAACTCTTGATCGCCTTTGCACATCACCATGACGCCGTCTTCTGTAGAACTAGCTTTCGGATACCAGCCACCGCGAAACAGCTTACCAGCACATAACAAAGGTTGCCGAACATTTGCTAGCACCGCTCGATCTCGGAAAACAATCTCTCGACCATCAAGCCCTTGCACCACAAAGGAAACATTGGCTCTCTGCGACATCTGCGGAATCGGCGTGCCTTGGGCATCCAAGAGCCGAGTAGTCTGCTTCTCCGCCACACCGACGGTGCTGAAGAGATGCGCTGGAAGCACAGTGACATCAGCACCTGAATCCAAGATGACTTCACAGGGCTCGGAAGGGTCCGTAGGGCAGCACACCGCACGAACTTCACAGTCGCATTCAGAACTGCACTCTCGGAAAAACTCATCTCCGCTGCTGTCACGATCAAGCTCGAAGCAAAGCGTGCTGGTGGAAGGAAGCTCACACTCTAGCTCAAAGCACTCGACGCTTGCAAAGTCTACCTCTTCAAACTCTCAGCGCTAGAGTCACTGTACCAACCATCACACGCACTGACTGCCCTGATGTACTCATAGGCTTCAGCAGGAATTTCGGATTCATCCCACCAGCCATACTCATCCCAAGCTTCTTCACCCTCGTAAAAGTCAACCTCCGAAACCAAAGCAGTGCTATGCCAAGCCCCAGTGTTGTCACCATCGTCGTCTGGGAGCTCCTCGATCAGCGGCCACGTGTCCAGCTCCATGCGGCAAACCTTGGCTGGGGAAGAGGTTGTTGTTGAGGGTGTTGTTGTTGAGGATGCCGTTCGGGTAGTACTTGAGGAAGCCCTAGTGCTCACAGAGGCATTATCGTCTTCAACTTGGTTCACGCGGCGATCTCTGCACTCAGCTGCTCGGTGACCCATGCGACCACACACAAAGCAAGGACCCTTAACAGCTCCACCTTTCTTGCCCTGCTTGCCGCCTTCATGGGCCCACTTGCCCTTGTAGCCCTTGCCTTTGTCCTGGTTGCCTTTTCCGAAGCCACCGAACTGAAAGCCCTTGCCAAAACCAGGTTTGCCCTTGCCGGTCTGGTAGTACCCCTTGTAGCCCTTAAACCCCTTTCCTTTGTCGCCACGGCCCTTGCCCTTGGCGTCCTTTCCCTTTGCTTTGCCTTTCTCGACGCGGTCCACGTCCATTGGGGCAAGACCTTGTCCATCTCCTGGGTACGAGTTCTTATCGAGGCCTATGGCTTTCATGACATACTCCGTGCTCCAAGTTGTTGAAGTGCGCTCAAACTGCAGCAAGATGCCCCTCAGCTTCTGATAAGTTGTTGAATCATCTATCTGCAACTGCAAGTAGCGCTTCACATCTTGGGGTAGGCCACTGAGGAGGGTCCCTATCTTTAAATCGTCTGGGTAGGTCTTGGAGGAGGCCTTTTCGTACTCCGAGACCAGTTTTTCGAACGTGAGAGCATACTCTAAGACTGAACCGCCATCTCGAAGAGGTGGGAACTTGGTGAGGGCCTGTGCTAAAGCCAGCGTCCGGGGTCGGGACGATGGCTGCAATTCTTCTGCCAACTGCCGCCAGACCCTAAAGCCATCGCCACTTGCCACGGATCTCAAGATCTTCAAAGCACGGCCCTTCAAGTAGGAGGCCAGCACCGAATACAATCTCAAAGAACGCGCTCGCAAAGCCGGACTATAATCCTCAAAGGAAACCCACATCGTTGCAGTCTCGGCTTTCTCAAAATCAGCCCTATATTCATCATCTTGAACTGCCATGAAGTTCCGGAAGCTGAAGGACCAATCGGGCCAAAGAGCAACCTCCTCATCTAAGGTCTTAGCACTGAAAACCTCTGGGCTCTTGATCCACTTGCTCTCTTTCCACGGACTGCCACCAGACGACCCACTGGCTGCAGCTAGCTGAGAAACCGCTTCTGCCAAACGCCCCAAGACGATCTCTGGGGTCACAGCTTGCGCCGAGGGCGGCGTAGCCGCGGGCGCTCCCACGGACGCGCCCCCTGGGCTCGCCCCTCCATCATCTCCAGCCGCAGGCTGAGGCTGGGCCGCCTCACCAGCCGAAGTAGCCATCCTTCAAGAAGGGCCCAAGGCTCAAACTACTTCCCAAGCAAGGAGGTACCTCACAACGAAGTTCTGGAAGCCGCGAGCACTCGAGCACACGACACGCGCAGAAAGTCCCCTGGACTATGCTGGCACAAGCCAGGGCTCAGGATTGCCGCGAGCACTTAGGCACACAACAACCCACTACACTTACGAGCTTGCACCTTCGCAAGCTCCGCTACCACAACAGAGCAACGCACACTTTTCAAAGCACACTTGAGCCTACAGTCACGCACGTCGTACTGGTCGTGGAAAGCAGCAAAAGGGGTTTCTACAAAGTTTGTTACCTTCGGAAACAGCTTGCTGTCGCCCTTCACGAGCTTCACATCCGGTAGCCTCTTGAGCGTGTCCTCAAGCTTGACCTGGTACTTCTCGAACATCTCCTGTGCATTGTCACCTGCCGGATTGGGGATATCATAATCCCAAGTCGCCAGAATCTCTGCACAGGCTGCAACACAACCCTGCCATGAATCCACAACCGCATCCTTCTCAGTGAGCGCATTCTTGTACTCCTCCGTGGCCGTACGGGCCTCGTTCATCTTGGCCCTCACAACCTGTGCTGTTCTCACGTGGGCTGCAAGCTTGTCTTTAACCTTGGTGGCGGCCGCGTTCTTGAAGGCAGTGAATGCTGGGCCTGAGGAGGAAAGCTTGTCAAACTTGGCTTTCAACTTCTTCTCGGCCGGAGTCTGAGCCTCATCAGCCTCCTCCAATCCACGCTTGGTTCCTTTTGGAGGCGGCGTTTCCTCAGTGTCCTCGGCATCGTGAGTAAAGAAGCTGTCAGGGTCACGATCTCGCAGGTTGGTTTTGCACTGAGCCAAGAGCACACGACGGTCATCAGCACTCAGCTGCTTCTCTTGAGCCCCGCCCTCCTCGAGCATGGAGGACTTGATGTGATCGGTGTGCCGGTGGCGCTCCTCTATGACCGGGATCCAGAGGCGGTCGCTCTTGTCGATGCCGAGCTTGTCTCGGTGAATGCTGGGATCCTTGAAACGCTTGTCCCACTCACTCTGAGTGGCCGACTTGCTCCACCCCATGGTGTGCTGGCCCCGGATCATCCACTCACCGTGTTCAAACGGGCGAGTTCCTTGGCGGCTTCTCCTGATCTGGGATACACAGTAAAGCCGCTTGAACTGTGACCAATTGATCAGCTGTTTGCGCTTCCATTTTCCATCCGAGGGGTTCATCTCCTCGAACTCCTCCATGGCTGCAGTTGCCGTTGCGCTGTTGCCCATTGCTTCATCCAAAGCTCTGGTTATGTGGTTTGCACCATCTCTTGCCCTTCAAGCACTGGGACTCGCACGTTGTGATGAAGCAAACCTTCAGGACCGCAGCCTTGGCCTTCGCTTTGGCCTTGGATCTACCGGCCCTTGGCGCCGCCCCATCACCGGCCTCACCCTGCTTTTTGGCCAGTTCCAGCTGCTTTACGATGCCCGGGCAATCCTGGAAGTCGCCGAAGTCATCCTCCATGATGACTGCGAGGCGCTTGAGACCGGGCTTCCCCGATCAAGCAACAGAGAAGAGTGACACGGCACGGCACCACTTGCAACTAGATCACTAAACTTCTGTTGTGCGGTATATGCAAGCGAGGCAATTCCTAACATAGGTCGATACTCAGTGCTCTGGGTTCCGATGCGCCAAAACTCTAGTGGAGGCTGCAACTGTGTCTTCTGTCCGGCCCCAAACTGTGTTGTTCCATTGGCTCGGAAGTGGCCCTGAGCGGAGGACAAGGCGTGACGGGGCACTGACATGAATACTGCTTCAACCTCAACACAGTTGCACTTGCAGTCTGACGATAGGCTTCCTGATTCCTGACCTAAGCATGGCCACTGACCTCAGCGACCCTGGCAGGCAGACTATTCAACCATTCAACGCTCACCGACAAATTTCAGTTCTGACCTGAGAGCGAGGCCCATGCTACAGGCAGACCGCAAAGGTCTAACAATCACTTCCGAACACCAGCACACAGCACAGAAAGCGACAAACTAGTGACCAGCTTTTGCCCTCGTGATGTGGAAGTACCATGCAAGGACAGCTCAGACTGTGCAGAGCGACACTACCAGCACAAACATCGTAAGTAGGCCAGTGGGACGGCTTGCACATGTGGGCATTACCTCAGATTATGGGCTATTGGGGACCACCTATCAATCTATTGCATGACATATGTGCGCTACATCTCGCAGATACCCTGGCCCACTTCAACATACCTTGCTCAGCATCTGTAAAAACGTGTGAATTGGCTTCAACTTAGCCTGAGCTACGGACTGTACAAACTGAGCAGCACTAAGCCCGGACAGCAAAACAGATGCACATGGCGGCAAAACTGGCACATCGTCCTGCTGCCTGCTGCCTTCTGCATCTACTGCAAGAACCTAACGAAGCGACGCGGGGAGGCACCTGGGTTCTCCTCGTGGCTGTCGGAAGCCACAGACTGAAACTGTTGCCGTGACATGTCGGAATCGGTGGCAGCACCAAAATCACCGAAACTGCTGAGACTCTGCTGACTGTCCTGCCCAAGGGAGAAGCTAGACTCGCTAGACCCTCCGCTTCTCAACAAAGTCCTCTCGGGCTGTATGCTGGCAGCACGATCAGCTTGACTGAGTGACACATGCAATAGAACCACCAGCTCGCAATCACTGGCAGATGCCAGCCGTTTCCTAGCATCTTCTTCTGCTGACACATAGAACGTTTCTGCAAGGCAGGCAAAATTTCACAACCATGCTTCCAAGAAGTTCTATCTGCAAAGACATTCCATCTGCAAAGACATTCCAGCCGTGCGCAACATACTGCTCCATCGGCAGCATTGGTCGGTTTGCCGACCAACTGTGCAGGGTTCCATGCGTCAAGGCACTCGGCAAAATGGGTCCTGGGGTACTTGCGCCGTGACCTGGGTTTTGTTCTAGATCTGCATACCATGCACCGCAATCACGTGAAGGACCTGAATCACCAGCGACGGCAGCATCATCTGCACCATCTGAATGCTTCTCAGACAAAACTTCTTGCCTGGCCTTCTCGTAATTCTCCAATCTCACAAGCTGTCCTGGAGCGTAGACGTGTTGCATGGACACGTCCTGCCAAGACATGTCTTCTGGCAACTGCAAGCCTCGCTTGCTTGCCCGCTCACGCAAGAAATCAAAGACTTCTGCATCAGTCGCGGCAAGGAAAACATCAGCAGTTGCTTGTATCTCTCTGCCAAACAACTGCAGAAAATGATCAGCAACAGCAGATTGATCAGGCCCAACCCAGGCCATGCTCTCTCGATTCAAGCTGCATGTAAAGACACGGGACTGCCTGACAGGCCACCCAAGCTGCATTGGGGAAATGTGCAGGAAAATGATCTCGTGGGTCTTTTCCAAGTCAGCAAGCTTCTCCTGCGAAAGCACGAGCTGGCACTACAAGACTGTTGAGCGGTTGTCGGGTGTTCACTACACTACAGGGTGCCAGACCCATGCACTGGGAGCTTCACAAGGCGATCACAAGGCTTCGGTTCATTGAAACTAACCGTGTCTACGACAACAACACGATCCACACTGCTTCTGAGTCTGAGTCTACGACTTGATGACTTTTGATAAATAGTCTAAGCCTGAAATCTGCTACCTTTTCGAAAACTAATCCCAACTTCGGGAGGCATTAATTCAATGATTGAGAGCTTTGCACTGGCTCTGACTCTGACCTTCCTAGACTTCTGCCTTGTTGCTGCTCCAACCGGAACATGAAATCTACCAAACGTTAGCTAGCTAATCTATATGTAAGAAACACAGGCACACTTCGGCAGAACAGTGCGCCTTCACCGGGTAGCGAGGGGTGCACTCGCTGATCACCATGTCTTCCACCCCTTGTTCAGCACGGGCTACACGCTCAGCAAGCCATATCGCATGAGGCCGTTCAGAAGGATCTGCAAAATGCAAACCCTTGCCCGCAGAACTCCAGCCTGTACATGTCGTGCCTGCTAAGTTCACCCGCAAGAAACTAGATGCCGGTGCCAGTGGCACAGACTCCTCTTCACCAGATGCGACAGCAAAATCCATCTTCGAGGTATCAGACTCTGAAAACGACAACCTTCGCCGCTTCGGTGGAGGGGTTGCCGGGGATGTTGAAGCTGGCTCTACTGATTTCACCAAAGGGCAGTCTGTGCCATGAATCAAGCATGGGCTGGTGCCTGCCGGGGCAAACACCCAGGCACGGTTCTCCATCAACCACTGAGACATGTTCGAATAAGCTTGCTTTGCTTCTGCGGGCGTCACCTTCGTTTCCGGGATCATGGAATCCAACAGCTGCCTAGCTGCAGTTGGCAAGCGGTCTTTGAGGTCACCAAAAAGGCACACGGAGTTGTTGTGCAAGCTGCTGATGTATTTGAGGATGTCTTGCTGCTGCTTGCCTTTGTCGCAAAACCGCCCGTGTACTACCTTCACATTGTTGAAACATAACACAGCAGATTCGCCTCCTAGTCCGGCAGCTTCTAGGGCAACATGCTTCAGTGCTTGAAGCATCTGGTGCATCACCTCGTACTCCCCCGCAACTCCAGAATAGTCGGAGTCAATCCAAAGGCCTCGCTGAAGCAGAAATCGCAATCTATGGAGCCGCTCTCCATCATCGCCGTCACCTGCACCAATCAGGCTTCTAATAACCGTGACTGGCCAGCTGCAGAACTCATCCAGCGACAACGGGCCCGCTTTCAAGGCCCCACGCACTTCGGCCATGCCTACAGAACGCACAAAGACCTACAGAGCCTGGCCCAAGAACTATTTGCATTACACCCACGATGCTACACTGTTCCACTCGTCTTCGGTTTTGGCCCGAGCACAGTACTTCTAAATCGAAGCAGTTCTTTTCAGGACGGAGGACCTTGTACAACACACACCATACACCTGCGCAATACCTACGGCAAATTAGCTATCACCAGTTGTGCAGCTAGTTCTCGGTAGGGACCGGGTATGAAAGACCTGGACATATAAGTCGTCATATAAGTAATATGAGACTTTGTTTTACCAAAAGTCCGCCAGCATGCCAGTGCTGTGCCCTTGGACGCCGACATGAGTTGCAATGTGTTGAACTACTGCTTTCACTGCTTGTTGTCATTTTGTCATGCTACATCTTACCCCTTCACAGCAAAAGATGCAGCAGCATCGCTCATTGAATTGTCTGGCGGGGTCTGACTCTTTGCTTGGGCTTTGGGCTAGCTGCAAGGCGCCGGCGCTTAAGTCTCCAGCTCGAGGACGTCAGGCTTCAGGGCTTTTGAGCTTCAGGGCTTAAGGGTTTCAGGGTTCAGGGGTTTAGGGCTTGGTGGTCTTGGTGTTGGCGGTGGTGGTGTTGGTGGCAGTTGGTGGTGTTGCTGGTGTTGCTCCTGAAACTCTAGAACTTAAGGACTTCAGGACCTGAGGAAGCCTGAGGACGTGAGGACAACATGTGTTGTAAGTTGTGAGATGTGAGTTAAGCTAAGGGTTTACAACGACAGAATCGAGTCTTTGGTTACATAACTTTAAGTTAGTTCCACTTTGCTGCACGGTTGCCTCAGCAACGTTGACTTGAACTTGAAACTATGCTGCAATGCCCACAAAGAGATACGATCTAAATGGCCCACCCTCAGCAGTGCCCCAGACTGTTGACTGCATGCAATTGCATGGAAACGTGTCCCCAAGAACAGCACATGTGAGTCAGCAATGTTCACCGCACCTGCCACATCCGAATCAGAATGATCGACTTGACTGATTTGATTGAAGGGGGACAACTTTCAATATTCATTGTTGCACACTGACCTATTTGCAGGAACAACAAGTTGAGGTGACAACAGACCCCCCGGGCCTGCTAGATATGTTTATTGGAACAACGCAATGTTCAGCGCAATCGAATCTGAAATACTGTGTTTTCTCTTTTCGTGCTGATTTCTGCGGATTTCGCTAAATATCCCAGATTCCGCCCAGAAACGCTGGAAATCGCAGCCGTGGGCCTAGAGAGCCTGAAGTGCCTGGCCCCAGCCATTTCAAGGGCCACAGGCAGCGTCGAATTTCGAGCAATTTCGAGCGTTTCGAGCAACAGCCCGGAGTTTCGAGCAACAGCCTAGAGTTTCGAGCAACAGCCCAGAGTTTCGAGCAACAGGCCAGAGTTTCGAGCAGGTCTAAAGGTAAAGTAAAGGCGGGAGTTTCGAGCAACCAGCCAGAGTTTCGAGCAACACGGCCCAATTTCGAGCAACCCAGCCAAATTTCGAGCAGCGACCCTGGGAGTTTCGAGCAATTTCGAGCGTTTCGAGCAACCCTCCCCGGGCCCCCCAGTGGCCCCCCAGGGCCCCCCAGCGGCGGATTTGCAGCCTCCAGGGGCTTTCACGGGCCCCCCAGAGTGAAACGAGCGCAAAACCTCCCACGCAGACAGATTTCAGCAGATTTCCGGATTTGATTTTCACACGAAACTGACAACGTGTGCTCCGCAGCGGGCAATCCGCTGGCTTGTGAAACTTCTGCGGAATGCGGCCCAAGCACCTTGAGTCTGCTGATGCAAAGTCAAAAGAACCTGACTATGATGATTGATTATTTGCAATAGAGACATGATCACAGAGAACGGTTCAGTAGCACTACAGTACAAGTCCAAATATCGAGGTGCACTGGGACAACACAGACACGTTTGGAGCATCTGCAGAACTTGACCGCAGCTGACAACTACTTCTTGTTGAGCTGAGAAGCATCCAAGTGCAACACAAAAGCAACATATCAAACAAACGCTCTAGTTGCTCTATAGGATGCAATACTTTTCTGAACTGTTCTACTTCAGCTCTGACAAGGCCTCAATGTCCGGGGTAGGACCGGACAGGTGCTCGATCCAGCTCTTCCATGGATGGCAGCGAGCCGTCCTTCAAAGCCTTCATGACCTCTTTCCAACATTTCTCCTGATGCATCTTCTTGGAAGACACACGGCGGCCTTTCTGTGCCCAGAACTTCAAAAGTCTGAGAGCCACGTCGGGCCCGTCAATGTTCGAGCTCCTCGTCTTAGTGCATGCAGTGCCACTTGCTGTCTCGTGCCCCGGGTGTTTACACGTCATTTGGAAGCCGGTCTTCGTGGGCGTGATTCGGCAAAGGCCGTAGGATGTCGCAACATCGCGCCTTCGCTTGACACCCTTTGGCATGGCCACAACACGCCTGGTTCCCGCTTCATCCTCCACGTACTCACTATCACTGTCCGAGGATGATGATGAAGACCCTGACCCGGATGTAGATGAGGAACTTGAAGAGCTGCTTGAAGAACCGGACGATGAAGCATCTTCTGCTCCTGCTTCTCCAGCTCCGTCTTGTTGTGGATCATGATGATCACCTCCTTCTCCGGCCATCTCAGCATCATCTTCGGCCTGGTCGCCCATGTTGTCATCGTCTGCGATCTCAGCATCATCATCGTAGTCAGCGGCATCCTCGAGGGCAGGGACAGCATCCGAACCCATTGCACGCCGCCGGGTTCTTTTGCGTGGGGCAGGCAAAGGTAGGAGAGCTGCCTCGTCCACCCAAACATCCTCGTCATTCAGGAAGACGAGGCCAGCACCCTTCTTCCGACGTGGTTTGCTAGCAACTGGCTTCCCCAAGATTGCAGCATATGCCCCTGCATGTTGAAGATGCGGCACAGGCTGACCATGTTGCTCAGCATTGAGCAAGCACAAGAGGTAGTCCTTGCAGACCAAAGGGTTGTTCACGAGGTAGTACCAAATCTTCTCATCTTCGGCACCCTTGTAAGCTGCACCTTTTTCCAAAGCCCGCTTTGATTCCAACCCTTTATGCTGCCAGCCCCTGTCGCGAAGAATCAGCAAAAGCTCTACCATTTCCATGTCCTCAAGCGGCACGTCGCGAGCCTGGAAAACCTTGCCCAAACTTGTCAGCAGATTCTCAACTTCAATGTACCGGTGACCCTTGAATGTCACTACCCAACCACCATCCTTGTCACGCTCAGCCCAGCCCCGAACTTCAAGCTTGGCCAAAAGCTCACACTTCTCAGTATGCAGCGGGTCGTTGCTTGCCGGGATATAAGCACCGGCACCCAACAAATCATGCAGCAATGACTGACACACAGCACCTGAAAATGCAGAGTTGTCAACATCATCTGCTGGCACGATGAAACGATATGAAAGACTGCTTGTGCTTTCCCACTTTCGCATGCCCAACAACGAATCCAGAGGCAAAGCTTCCAAGCAAAGCACCACAGGCGTAGCAGACCCTGCAAAATCTGAATCCAAGTTCCGCAAGCTCACAGGACTGGAGTTGACAACAACACCAAATTCGCCAGCGCCCAGCCGCCTCACCGAAACGACCCTCAAGAACGACACTGCCCAATCTGATTTCCGAAAGCCCGTGGCTGTAGGCAAGACAACACTCCCAACAGCTTTGCGGATGATCTGCATGAAAACAAGGCCTCGCAAGCTGAATGAGTCCCAATCCAAGACCGGAACAGGGTCATCGGCGGAGTGCCGAGACGCCGCCCAACGCAAAGATCGAAGCGCCTGGTCGCTGAAAGGCATGGACCTCAGCCAGCACCTTGGACCCAAACAACGCAAAAGGGGTATCTGGCAACCTTCGACCAACTGCAACCTCCTTTGGAGAGCGTTCACCGCCAAAAGCTTTGCCATTCGCATTCACACTCATGCACAGGTAAGAAAGTGCAAGCTGCAGCAAGTCTCTCCGAAACGACAAAACGCAACCAAGCGACTGAAAATCACTTTGCAAGGTAGCTAGCCCTTCTTTAAGGACCCGGACTGTCCTTTCCGCACCACCAAGCTGTTCATGAGCCTGTGGCGCAGCCTTGCGCACCATAAAGATGTACTTATCCGACGCACCTGCAACAAACGACTTCACCGCTTCTTCGGAATCTGTCAAAAGCACAATGCTTGCCTGTGAGAACGACAACCCAAACTCAGCAAGCCACTTCAAAAGAAGACCTCTGTCTTTTGCAATGTTCTCAGTTATCATCACAGCCCCAATAGAAGAAGAAAAGGCCTCACGAAGGACGAGGACCTTGAAAGAGCTACTTGTCTGGCGCTGAGCCACGCTGATCATCTCTCCAGAAGAGTCCAGAAACATAAAATCTGCAACAATCTCTGTTTCAACTCCGCGCTCAGACTTTCGCCTGTGTTGGGTAACACCTCGGGACTTCAGACAATGTTCGCAATCGGGATGGAAGGGCATGTGGCCCTTTGCTCTGTGAATTTCAAGATCTTCCTTGGTCTTCTGCGAAACAACTGCAACATGTCCAATCGAGGAAATTGGAGCAGGATCAACTGAGTCACCCGACGGCAACAAGAGATCACCTTCTGAATGAGGAATCACGCGGATCCAAGGCGTGTCACACCAAATACAGGTATCAATCATATCAACACCCGACTTCACATGACACACAGAAACGCCTTCATCCAAGACAACACGCCAGCCATGCCTTCCAAGAGTTCGCGTTGACAGGATATTGTAAGGAGTGTCACCCACCACCACAGGAATCTTGCAGACACCATTCTTGGTAGCTCCACTTGAATCCTTTGTTCGAACCTTTAGCACAACATGGCAACGACCATCAAAGGGAACAGGAGTTCCATTCGCAGCCATAAACGTCGAACCACATGCAGTCAACTCATCACGCGGAAGCGTCTTCAAAGTCACGTGGTTGATAACACAGCATGACGCACCTGAATCAAGCAGCCAAAACTCAGTTCCAAGCGATTGACCCAACGACTGCAACAATGATTGACACAACTGCGCTTGGAGCACAACAGACACCGACTCGCTGTCTTCAAGGACAGCTTCAAAACGCGTATTGGGCTCATCAGTTAACTCAATGACACAAGATAACACAAGAGTGGAGTCCACCTGCTGTGCTTCTTGCTCATCACCTTCTTCGGTGTAAAAAGATTCATCAGCATCTGTGTACCACCAAACCCCCGTTTCCTCATCAAACAGAGCAAACATTTTTCCTTTCTTTCCTCCTTTTCCTTTGCTCTTGCCTTTAGACGAAAAAGAAACTTGACCCTTGGCCGCAGCAGCACCTTTGCCATCAGAACCCTTAGGCCTCGCACTCGACTGAGAACCATCACCCTGCTTGCCCTTGGCACAGTTCAAAGATATGTGGCCCATCTCTCCGCACTTGAAGCACTTAACCTTGGAAAGGTCTGCCGTGCACTGATTCACTTGATGCCCCTTCTTGCCACAACGGTTGCACTTCACACCGCTCCCAGCATCAGAAGGCCTAGCACTCATGCCAAAGACGTGACCATCCATTCCCTCACCTGCCTCAGGCGAACCTGCGCTCTCAGAAAACTCGGTTTCATGCAAGCCAAACAAACCTTTGGCCCCTTGCAACTCAAGAAACAAACGCTGCTGATGTTCCCATCGCAAAGCTGAAGATCGATATGAGGCATACGTCTCACCTTGCGAATGATGTAACGTATACGCTTTCGCGCTCTCAGGCAAAGACCTCATCAAAAGCGTAAGCTGATCACTGTCAGTCAAAGCAAACCCAGCAGCATCTCTAGGATCTAGCGTCGAAAGTTTTTTTTTTGGGCGGCCCTATGCAAAGCAGACACAAGTCAGCGTACTCACTGTGAGTAGGAGAAGAAAGCGCTAGACCTGAGGAGCTTCTTGCACGTTGGCAGCCCCACTAACTGAGACCAAGCCGGACGGTTAACAGCCAGCCTGTGAAGCAAAAGGAAGGCAAAAGGAAAACTAGGGGATAGGGAGGTCATGGCATGTGGAGTATGTGAGAGCCAGTGCCATGCTAGTTCGGCACACTGCTCGGCCCAGTGAAGTCTACGACGTCCCGGCCGTATGCCTGCCTGTACTGTACCCCCTCTATATACAAACGCCTTCGTAAAAACACAGTTTCGCTCCAGGTTGCTCGGAGTTGCTCTCAAAACGTGACCAAACAACTTTAGTTGTGCCCTGTGGATGTGGTGTGTGAGGGGGGGCTGGTCGGCAAGGGCTCTGACGCCTTCGTTGCGGATGGTCTGTGCGTGGGGGTTGTCTGTGAGAACCTTGGTGTAGTAGGTGGCTTTGATCCTTTGGATCTTGCGGAGTGACTGTGAGTGGAAGGCCTCAATCCTGTGGAGGTCTGCTGTGGTGAGCGCGGCGGACTCCATGCCATAGGCAATCATGGGGATGAAGACCGCGTTGTAGATGCGCAACTTCCATGCTACACTCAAGCCTGTGTGTCTCCAGAAGGCGTGCAGGGTGCTGAAGTGCTTCCGGGCTTTCCCCAATCTTGCGGTGATATCCGCCTTGCTGGACGAGTCCTGGCTGAGCACCACTCCGAGATACTTGGCCTGCGTGACTTCCTTCATTGGTTCACCTGTGAGGAAGTGTATGTGATTGACGGCCAGCTGTGAGCGCAGCAATTCGCACTTTTTAAGGTTCAACGAGAGGTTGCTGTAGCCAGCAACTTCTTGAATCTTGTGCAGAATCTGCTGGCCCCTTTCAGCAGTACCTGTGAAGACGGCCATGTCGTCTGCGTAAGCGAGGTCGTAGAAAGGTTGGTTCTGGCTGAAAAGCCACGGGAGCATCTGGCCGTGCTTCTGTAGCTCCTCGTCAACATCCGCCATGATCATGCTGTGAACCACCAGGAAAAGGTAGGGGGAAAGCGGACAGCCTTGGCGAATGCCCGAGCTTGCAAGGGACTGCTGGCTCTGTTGTCCTGCAGCTTTGACTGTGAAGGAGGGGTTGTTGTAGATCGAGCCAATCAGATTGACAAACGACGGCGTCACCCCGTGGCGTTCGAGTGCCACCGTGACTGCTTGCGGGTGTACTTTGTCAAATGCCTGGCTCCAGTCAAGAAGCTGCACGTACAGGGTTGAGCCGCAGCGTTCGGCTCGCTCAAGAAGCCTCCGTGCCACATGAATCGCCTGTGAGGTCGATCTGGTGGCTCTGAACCCATACTGTGTGGGTCGCAGCTTGTGGTCTATCGCCTGCTCCAGGCGTTTCTGGAGAAGTCTGGCGAAGAGCTTGTAGGAGGTGCTGAGGAGGGCGATGGGGCGGTAATTGTTGGGGTCCGCCATTGTGCCGCGCTTGTGAATCTCGGCCACGACGGCTGTTGACCATTCTTCCGGTACTAGACCTGTGAGCAGTGCGTCGTTGAAGAGGTCAAGTAGCGGCTGCCGATTGGCTGGGGTGAGCCACTTTAAAGCCTCTGCTGGAATTTGGTCAGGGCCTGGAGCTTTGTGTGAGGCCATGCCTTTGAGGGTGGCGTTGAGCTCCTCCATCGTGATGGGTTCCATGTTGACTGGACTTGCATCTGTGAGTGGGTGGGTGGGACCTGTGTAGTCCGTGGTTGGTGGGGCCCACTGAACTTCTGACAGGTGTTTTGCAAAGGTGTCGGCCTGCTTGCTGTAGCTGGTAGGCTTGCCGTTGGAGTCGTGCAAGGTGACCGTGCGGGGCCTGTATTCCGAGCGGATGCGCTTTATCCAGCGCCACTTGTCCCGAGCGTCCATTGTCGCTTCGCTCTCCTGAAGGCGGTCCTTGAGCCACTGCTGCTTGTCCTTGCGGGCCTGTGAGCGGATGGTCTTATGTAAGGCGCGCTCAGTGTCCGAGTCCTGGCTCTGGCGAGCGGCTGGGGTGCTTAGGTTTGCTGTCCTGTGTGGGGATGTGCTTCTCCATGGACTGCAAAATGGAGTCCTTGATCGATTGCCATTGCTGGTCCAGCCTCTGCTGTTCGGTATTCGACTGTGAAGGCTGGGGGGAGGCGTCCTCCGCTTCGGCCTCGGGTGGGGCAGGCTCCTCGAAGGCTGGCTGTTGCTGAAGGGTTTCCGTGAAGTGTTTGTTGAAAGAAAGTATGGACTCTGCGTCTGGGCGTCTGGTCGGCTTGGGGGTGGGAGTTGCTCTCTTGTGGCAAGCTGTGTGTAGGGAGAGCGTGACTCTGGTGAGAAAGTGGTTGCTGTTGAGGGCAGCGTTCGGGAGGGTGTGCACGTCAGTGACCATATTCTTCCAGGCGAACTTGGTGATGGCGTGGTCCAGCTGAACCAGATCACCATTCGGACGCTGGTGTGTCATCCGGTGTTTCTCGGCTTTGTCCATCCACGTCTGAGGGAAACACAGGTCGTGACTGACCGACATCTCGAACAGCTGCGCGTGGTTTGATAGAGAATCATCCTCGCCAGCCTGTGAGGCTAAGGTCTCATCTGCCACATTCGCTCCAAAGTGGGCGTGTGGCCCGACACTGCCGCGATTGGACGAAAGTTCGTCGAGCAGCTGCGCATTGAAGTCGCCTACCAGTAGAAGGGGTTCGCTGGCGGGGTGGCTGTGAAGGATGTCTCCTAGTGACTGCCAAAAGGAGTCACGGACTGGCTGCTCACGTTGGTTGTGAGGAGCGTACACCACCTGGACTGTGAGAGGGGCTTCGGCTGTGTCAATCTTGAAGGAGAGGAAACGACCGTCGGTGGCAACGATGTCCAGGATGCAAGGTGTGAGCCGCGGGGAGGTGATCAGGGACACCCCCGTGAAGGTCTGTACCGGGTTGCCCTTTGCATCCATCTTGTCATCGGCGCTGTGGGTGACAGTGTATCCATCGATCATGAAGCGGTCCTGTTGTTTCACGTGGGTCTCTGTGAGGGCCAGCCAGTCTAGGCCGTGCTTCTGCATGATCTTGATCAAGGTGTGAAGCTTGCCGGCTTCCAGAAGGCCCGTGGTGTTCCAGAACCCGCCCTTCAGTTGCACTTTGGAGCGCAACTGTGTGGAGTGCCTCTGTCTTCCGTGTTCTTGAGGGCTGCGGCAATGAGTCTTGAACCAGTGCGCTCTGGTGTGCTGCTTGTTCTGAACATCGTGGGCCTCTTCCCAAGAGTCGCGGCCGCTGCTCAGCTGAGGCTGTGAGGGGGGAGTGGGGTTGGGCGGAGAAGGGAGAGAGGCGGGGAGGGTGTCCGCTGTGAGGGGGACCGTGGTGGAGGAGCCTTCCGTCGGGGAGGCCGGCGGGCCAAAATGGCCAATTGGTGGGGTGGCAGGCTCCGGTGTTCGAAGCCTCAAATGGTTGGGGGTGGAGCGGTTCTGCGGGGGGTGTTTCTTCACTCTCATATCTGGAGCTTTGGCCAAAAGGCGGTGGAAACGTCTGCAAGAGCGAAACTGCGGGCTTCGACCCTTAAGGGAAGCCCTGGTGGAAACAGGCTGTAAGCCGCCCGGGGTTGGGGCAGTCGGCGTGGGGCCGTATGAAGGCTTTTGTTTGTTGATCCTAGCTCTGGAGCCCAAACCACAACTAGGGGTTGGAGAGGTGGATAGAGCGTTCCTCCAAGCTCTGTATTCCCGCCTGCTGCGAGATCTGGTGGTGATGCGGCGGCGTGCTCGCCGCTGCCGTGCTGTTTGTGACCTGAGGTGGCGGTGGTACTGTGCTCGGGTCTGTGAGGAGGGGGGTGTCCGGGGAGTGGTGTGGGGTCTGTGGGGCACTTCGTCGCCGAAAGGCACACTAGAACAACTCTCAGAGCAACCTGGAAAAGCGAAACTGTGAGGTAAAGATGGACTAGAGTTACAATAGTGGCTCGGCGCACCCAGCTCGCCTTTAGGTGGCGTGCCAGAACGGTTCAACTTGTTTTTGCCCAGCTGTGTGGTACGGTCTGGGTCTGCTATGGTACAAGAGGCAGCAGCCTGTGAAAAATGCAGTCGCACAGCCGCTGCGGAGGATTGCAAGGAAGAGAGGGCGCGCTTGCCGAACCATCACTGTGAGCCAGTCGAGCGGCGCTTGATGCACCAGGACTCCCAAGCCTCCTGTGGGTAGTCGGTTGGGACCCCACCGTGGTTGATGTGGGCGATCTTTGCCTCTTCAACCGCTTTCTCCAGTTCTGCCTGTGAGCTGAACGGGTAGTAGCTCGGCCTGGCCTTGGTCTGCTGTGGAGGATTCATCGCGGTACTCGGGATGCTGGCCGAGCTGATGCCACTGACCGCTGAGGCTGCATCACTGTGAGTGCGCTTCATTTGGGAGGCCACGTCGATCATTGCCCCCACGCCTCCACTCTCGGGGTCCACTGTGAAGGCTGCCTCCTGCTCCTGGGCTGCCATCTCTTCCATGAGCTCCTCGGTGGACCGAAGGCCTGTGAAGTGGGTCCTCTCGTCGGCGTCGGCGGGGACTTGGACAAACTTCACCGGCCACGGGAACTCATACCGGAACCGGGCGATCCAGTGGTCTAGACCTTCATCCTCGCCCTCGTTGTACTCCGGAATGGCCTTGGTCAGGAACCTGCTAAGTCGCTTGGCCTCAGCATAGTTGTGTGCTGTGAGGCGAGCTGCGCTATCGAAGGCTTCCTGCTCGACCGTAGTCTGGTTGACCTGCTGTCGCAATTGGTCATACCAGATGCTTCGCCAGGTCTCCAAGAGCTTTGTGGCATGCTCCTCTGGGATGTGGATCTCGCACTCCCAGTCTGTGAGGGTGCCTGTGGAGGTCGTCTGTGAAGGACCCCCGCGGCGGTACACGATGCGGCCCAGCCAAGCCTCTTTGGAGTCAACCAAGGCCAGCGTCTTCCACCTCGGAACCAATGGCTCTTTGGTGAACTTGCTGAAGGCCGCCCGGTAAGCGTTCATGAGTCCCTGGAGCGGCGAAGCAAGCCTGCGTTCAAACTGTGTGACTCCAGGGGAGAGCTTTACCGGGCCGCCGCCCTTGTACTCAAAGGTCTGGGCTGGCTCTTTTGAGCCGGCTGCCTGTGAGGAATCCGCCGTGTTCTTCTCGGCCGTTTCTTCGGAGCCGTCCTTCGCCTCGTCGGGCTCCTTGGGGTCTTCCCCTGTCCCTGGCTTTTCCTGGTGGAAGTACCAAGGGTACACCCTGTCCGCTACCTCCAGGATCCGCTTCCGGACCGTGAGGGAAGGGACTGTGAGGATGGAGGTGGCAGAGAGCTCCGGCTTGCCGGGCGTGCCCGTGTCCAGCCGAGTTGTGGCCAGGTCCCACATTCCATCGATATTCCACAGCCCAGCTTTCGCAAGGGCCTTTTCCACTGTGAGGCGGCGGTCTGCCTCCGTCTGCCAAGTGGGGAAGTTTCGGCATACGATGGTGCGCTTTGCCTGCTCGATCTGTGAGAAGAGCATGTCCTTCTCCGCCCATGCGGTGCGGATGCGAAGGGCCCGGACCTGCTGCTCCAGGTTACCCACTCGCTCGTTCGTCCTCACCTGTGAGGTGGACAAGGACGAGTATACTGCTCCGAGAGCTGGGGCGACCTTCTGCTGCATCGCCATCTGCACTAACTCCATGCACTGTCCGACTGTTGCCGGGGCGTTGAGGTCTACCCCCTGGGCTAGCGGAACTGTGAAGGACTGTGGCTGCAGCTGAGTCGGAATTAGCACAGCAGCCGAAGACTGTGGGGCATCCATGCGTGCTTCCATCTGACTCATGCGTGCAGTAAGGTCTTGATGCTGCTCTTCACGCCGTGCTCCTTGCAGCTTCACTTGTTCTAGCTGAGCAGCCACTTCTGCCAGCAAGGTGGACATTTTGTCCAGCTGGTCTCCCTGGCCCGCCATGGCTTCAAGGAAAGAGGAGGGAGTGACCTGTGAAGCTTGAACCGCTCGTGAGCTTAGCGTCGAAAGTAAACGCAAAAACCTTGCCACCGCCACCTCAATCTCACGCACTGTGTCAGCAACTGGAGCTGACGAGTCCTGTGCTCGAAACGTTCTTGCCATCAACATCGCCCTGAGACTCATAGCCTCAGCACGGCTTCTCAGAGAAAACTCCTTGGCAAGCTGCCTCAGCAACTCAAAACCATTACCCATCTACGAAAGAGAGTTTCCAAAAACACATCTCCCTGCATGGCGACTGCAACAATGTCAAGCCCTTCTCCGAAGCTTTGGATCATAAGAGTTATCCGCCCATGATGCCTTCAGCACACTAAACAAACGAACTCCTCGCGCTTGTTGACTCTTAGACAACGTGTTCCATGCAATCTGTGTAGGCCATCGCGCGGCCTGAGCGATCTCCTTCCCAAACTCAACACTTGCTTGGTTCGCCCATGCAACCAACTCGTGAATATAGGCATTCATGCCCAGCACTTCAGATTCACGCCCTTTCCACGCTTGATGATTTGGCGTAGCAGGTGGAGACCCTAGCCACTTCTCACTGCGACTAAAGACGTCTTTGTCTTCACTGCTCCTCGCATTTTCAGCTGGAACACCAGGTAACGTGTTACCTTGATGTCTCACGAACGCTGGCACATTCAAATCAGGTGGCGACTGCCCCAATCTCTCAGGAACGAACTGCCCACTCACAGGGACATTCAGTCTTTGGCTAAGATCTGCATACAAGGACTGCAACTCACGCGCACTCATGCGATCAAACAGCTGTCTCCCTGTACTAACATTATCTCCAAAAACCTGACTGCAACATCCTTGATTCGGAACTGTCGAAAGATTCCTCGCAGGACCTGGAGGAACTGACAAACCTGGAGCTGGCGCCACTGGCCTAATACCAGCACATGCACTTGCAACTGAAGGCGTACCGCTCGAAGGTGGACACGGCATGTTAACATGAGACTCCACAGGTCCCATTCCAGCACGCATACGATTTCCGTACAACGCCCAGGGATCTCTCTGAACACCTGCAAACCATGGATCGCTTGACCCAACACCACTCACACCTTCCACACCTGTTTGCCTCCTTTCCTGTTGCCCACACCCAGCTGTACCACACCCATACTCCCCTCCAGCCTCAGCAAGACCTGGACTACACGGAGCTGGCGCCTCAGCACTTGGACCTATAGGCCTTTGAAACATAACACCTTCTTTGGGTCGGCGGAAATGGTGTGGGAGCACAAACAGAGCTCCGCTACCATGTAAAACTTTCAAACCCTGAACAACCCGTCAAGGTCTGCACAGACTTTTGCTCGCGCAACAAACGAAGTGTTCAGCTGTTCTTGCATTGCACTGCTGTCACCTAAAGCTTTGCTTTAAGCTTTGCTTTAATGAGCCTCAGAACGTGTTTCATCATCGGCCCATTCTTTCAACGAGCTTCAGTCTCAAAGCTTTCCAGCCTTGAGCCACACATAAGCGCGGCACTCCGGATTCACATGTGCTTCAGCACATGCCCAAAACAAAACTTCGCTTCAAAAGCATACCGTCACAGCTTCTCTACAAGCTCCACGTTGGCAAACAAAACTCGCATACACTACAGCTGTTCGAGAAGGTACCTTGAAGCTTTCGAGAACTCATGCGGACTCTAACGGCTCACAGCATTCACTCATCTCACTCCAAAGCTCAAGCAATGCCACATGTCGAAAACTGTTCTCGCAGCTGAAAACCAAGGTTCCATGCCATGAAAACCGCAGCTCCCAGTGAAAAACTTTCCAGTGCTTTGAGAAAACCTTTGCAACACCAAAACCATGCAGAATTTATCCAGATAACCATTGCACCTCAGAAAATTCCAGCAATCGCAGGAAAATTGGCTTGCACTCCAAACTGCAGTCAGCAGCCTGATGATATACACATCGCACACTGAGCGGCTCTACCACTCAACAGGCAGCTCAGAGGCAGAACTTTTAACATTTTATGCGTGTGGTTTTTTTGAATCTGGGTTTAACCTGGATTCGAATCTGGTTTCAATTTGGGTTTTAGTGGGTTCATTAAAGTCCAGATTCCAGATCTGGGTTTGAGCTTCAAAGCTGGATTCAAACCTGGGTCACAATCTGGTTAAACTGGGGGTTGAACGAACCCACTCACCACAGAATTTGCACACCGTGGGATCGTCTGTCTCGATTCTGGGTTCCGGCCATTTCTGACGGGTTTGAGTCGCAACGACTCGGCACCGATAATGTGTTTTGTGTCTAGGAGCTTGGACTCAAAGAGGTGGAGACAATTCTGGCCCTGTCCGCCTGTGGAGTTAGCTGGACGAACCTTCGCACCCTTTGAAAAGACTTTTCAAGGAAGTATCTTTGAATAGGTCTTTCCGGAATGTTCTTTCAAGTCTCGGAAAAAGCTGCTTTCAAGAGTGCCTTTTGAAGGTGCTCTTTTAAAGAGGCGTCTTTAAAAGAAGTTTTTAAAAGGCTTTCTTTTCAAGAGTCGCTTAAAAGACCTCTGTTCCAGACACTTCTTTGAAATCCAATACGGCGTCAATACACAGAACCGCTAGCAGAAGAGCAAATGTCTTGGACGCTCTAGGGCAGCCCAAGATGTTCAGCGAAGTTCAGTTCGTCGCCTGAATGTGCGAAATCAGAAGTCCGTCTGGATCCTCAAGCAGAAGGTTGAATGAGCTCACAGAAGGCGCGGCCACGATGTTCGCAGCTTCCAAGTAGATCTGGAATCTTGTCTCGTGGTACCTCCCACCCTTGTTCTACCCGCCACAGCAAGTGTCCCGCCTAAAGTCCTTCGCTCCGGCAAACATTGGACTTTTTTTGAACTTTGGTTTGGGTAGGTCAGAGCGACGGCTCTTTTGGAAACAAGAAAGAACACAGGTTCAAAACCAAGGCCTTTAAAGCGGCCTTAACCGTGAAGTTCCGAATGCGCTGCGACCACTGTTATTCGCTTACTGCAAAGACTTCTTTGCATTCCCTGTTCCAAAACACTTCTTTGGAAAGGTCTTTCAAAAAGGTCGACATTACAGCACTGCGAGATCTTGTCGGCGCTTGTTACTGCCGTGCTTTGTCATCGACGAAGAACAGTAAGAGGGACATACCAAGTCAGTCAACGTTACGAAGGCACAGATGATGTTCTTCTTATCCGTACTGGAGATTCCAAGCAGCTGGGAGTGGCGCCACTGAAATTCACTTTCTTCTATGATCATCACAACGAACTGGACGCCTTTGTTCCTTTTCACCACTACGGTATGTGCTGGCACTAGGCCCAGATCATCGCCTCTCTCTCTTATTGGTGGGGCATTTCCGCTGCATTGGAGCTTCACTTTGTCCTTCATCACACCTACATCCAATGGAAGGAGCTGTACAGAGCTTATGGACTCGCCAAGTTTGGGCTATCCAGCCCCTACGTGACAAGAAGACCGCTAAGAAGTTTCACGAACGATGGTCTGTGAACCGTGTCTCTCGCTTTGTGAGGCTGCACGCCGTTGCAGCGCACAGTGGCATGGAAGGCTCTCCGGTTTCGAAATAGCACAGTGGACCGCGGGGCGCGACCGTTCTATCTCGTCATCGACACCGAGTGCCTCGGACTGCTGGAGTTTTTTTTTCTAACCCGCCGAGGTTCTCGCTCCATCGCCTCCGTGAACACAAAGAAGGGGCGTCTCCCCAAAAGGCAAACAGTGCGCTCCGCTCCACCCACTACCGGTCTCTCGTCGGGTCACACATGACTTGCGCGGAGCCAGCGACCGTGTGCCGGGGCCAAAGCCGGTGCTTCGGAGTCGACAGTCATTGCCGTGCCGGGAGCATTCTATCTCTATGCTGTCGCGTCTGACACGGTCAACACCAAGCTGCTTGGGAGTTTCGCTGACGCCATTCCTCCCCTGAAGCGCCTTGTCACCGGCCGGTGGCTACTACGGGCCTTCCACGCGCCCTATATGATCCGGCGGGAGCAGTACGCCCAGATCCGGACACCGGAGTGCCTGCCAAAGAGGGGACCACCGAGCTGCGCAGTCAAAGCTGTGCTGTCTCCCTTCCGGTTGCACCTACCGCCACATGGACCCAACGTGTGGCGGACCTATTGCACGCGGTCGAAACCCCGCCTTGTCGCCTTGTGCCGGAAGTTACTTCAATTGCCAGCCGGTGTGTACCGGCAGAGGATGAGGATGAATTCGCATGACACGCTTCGGAGTTACCAAGCTAGGGGCAGACTTCAGCAGCCGGTCGCGCCGAAGCGCTGCAGCATTCACTCTCCAGCTCTCCGCAGCCCGAGACGGCCAAAACATATTGAGGTGCGGGTCACATGCAAGGAATCCACTTCCGCGGAACTTGGTGGTTTCAATCACTCGGTGGCTTCAGCGTTCTGTCAGGTGTTTGTTCATGTTGTGTACGATTTGTGCGCATGGAGTTTGGTTGCTGGCGCCAAAGGTGCACGTTGTCCGGTCCGTTGTGATTGATTAAGTGCATGGTTCTTCTTTCCGCCCGCCCTCCATCCCATCACCCGCGGCCTTCCGTCTGGTGTTGTGTACAGCGCCTGACCTCTGACTCTGTTGATTTAGGAGGACAAAAAAGGGATTTTGTAAATGCAGTTCAAAATATAAACTTAATGATAAAAGAATAGTTAGTATTCTCAGTCTGATGTCTGAGTACAACATTTGACACACAGGCTGCGCAAACCCGTTGCCACATGGCACACAGAACCCTATACGCATGGCAGATCTCCCGAAAGCCGTCGAGCTTTAGATTTTTTCCAGTGCAGGGTTCTGCTGACGGGGTCGTCGTTTTGGACATTAAATTTTCGCCACCAGTGTCAGTGGCTCTTTAGACTTTGGTCGTCCTCTTCGCAATCAACCAAAAATATAAACAAATTAAGATCTGTCGTGTCCAGTGCAAGATCCTGCCAGAGGTGCCATCAGTGTGGACAGGGACAGCTGAACGGACGGCCACTTAGTTCATGGGTTCATAGACTTGAACTAAATTTAAATCTGGCTACAGTTTCAGTTGAAGCTCAGGTCGGTGCCATGCGGGTTAAGCGGTTGCTGCCACTCTTGATTTCGATCATGTGGAAGGTCGGGGGTGGGATATCCTCAAGTCCAGACCATTAACATCACAAAGAAATTGTCTTGATTGAGGTGAGGGGCTTGGAACGGAACTCACAGAACCTAAACCCTAAACCCTACCTGCGAACGACCTACCTTCTAAAGGAACCATGCAAAAAACCATCATAAGGACCCTAGAAAGGTAGGTCTTTCCGGCTACAGGCAAACCCTAAACCCTAAACCGAGACTTCTTTGATTGAGGAAGATTGGGGATGAGAGGTCGGCGTCGTCCAAGGTTTTGACATCACCATGGTTCGGGCGAACGGGGATATCTTGAGGGCCCGTGGTTTGCTACACTGCTGTTGCCAGTTCCAATTAAACGTCCCGAAGACACGTCAACCCTCGGCCACAAATCCTTATGTAGTGCTTCGGAAAAGAAGCTGGTGGCTTTCGCCCAAACAGCTTAGGGAACCGATTCTACCGGCCCGGCCTTGATCAAGATCGCTGTTTGAAAGCAGTTTAATAGTAAGGCTATGAGAACCTTCGATCCAGAGCTTCTTTGAACGCCTAAACACCCCAAGCCCTAAACCCAAGCCCTTCCCCCAAAATAGCCTAAACCCCAAACCCTAAACCCTACAAGAGGGCTCCAGGAAGCTTCGGTTTCACTTCTACAAGAAAGCTCCAGGAAGCTTCGGTTTCACCTCTACAAGAGTGCTCCAGGAAGCTT